TAAACACACTTTGGGGAAACTTTCATTTAGAGAAAAGTAATAAAATAGGAGATGGATAGACACCTGACCAGGGTGTCAGCAAACTATAGCCCTTGGGCCTAATCCATCAAACTGCTTGTTTTTTCAGAGAACTGAGAATGGTTTTTACATGTTCAAATGGTTACATTTTAAATAGTTATGTAAGTTCTTGCATAATATTCTGGTTTTGCCTCTTGGCTCCCAGAGCCCCAAATATTTACTATCTGACTCTTTAAGAAAAAGTTTGCCAACTCCTGTACTAGGCCGTGAAAATTTGAAGACTGTTCATTCTTCTTGACTCTTCACAGAAGCAATAATAATTATGATGTCCTGTTAGAAGTGCCTACTGTGCACTAGGCATGTATTATTTCCATTAATCGTCACAACAGCTCTGTGAGAAAGGTGTTATGGTCCCCATTTTATTTTATGGATGAGAACACTGAGTATCAGAGAAGTAAGGTGTGTATCAGAGTCAGAACTCAAACCCAGGTCTAACCCCAAAGTCGGTCATGGTTCCTTTGTCAGTGGTTTACAAAGTAGGGTCCATGAATCCCGGGGGCGGGCAGATAAGACAAGCCATTGGAGCTCAGTGAAAAATTAGATCTTTTCATTACATGTATTTTTAGCTTATCCTTCACTTTAAATTTTGCATATGTATTTTATTATAATATATAATAATTATAATAATAATAAATCAGCTAAAATTAGCCTAAATCAGTAGCCAATAGACAGTTTTTTAGGAGCCTCATAAATTGCTCCCCTTTCACCTCACCTCAATTCCCAAGTAACTGAGAGAGACAGAGGGATCTGGGGACTGGAGAACGAAATGCCACCTTTATTCTTGAGAGAGCCGTGGGAGAATCTGTCTTAGGTGAGGTGTGCGGCAGTTATGGGCTTCCTAAGGCTGAATTCCAGAAATAGTCATGTTCTTTGATCCAGTCACAGATGCCCCTGAAAAGCACAGGATGCTTTTTGTGGGGTCCTCTTTACCACTAAGCCTCCCACTGTCAGGGACAGAGGGGAAGGTGTGCTTCCTGAGGACATCTGTTGCCATAGAAGAGAGAGGGAGGGGCTGAGCTATGCATGCCTGGCTCCTGCCTCCCTAAATATCAATCATCTAGATAATTCCCCCTTCTCCCCTGGGGAGAGGGAGGAAGGGCTGGAGCATTATGCTAATGGAGCTCTTCCTTTAGGTGGAAGGGAAACCCATGCATTGGGTGTGAGAATTTTCCACCTAACAATATTGTACATGATGTATCTATTTAGTAATATATGTATTTTATATAGTTATTACTGCATATATGCTAAGCATTTTTCTATCAATAAACCATCAGGTACACAATGAAAACCATCTGAAGACCACTATTCTATACTATGCTGTACAAGTATGTGGCCAAGTTCCCTGTAGTTGAAAAAGAATAGGAGAACACAGTTTATTGTAGGATCTGGGCCTCCTGGGTCTTAAGAGGAGATGAACCTTGGCTTTACTAACTTGCATCTAAATGTTCTGAACACCACCACTAACTTACAGGCCTCTAAAGGAAAACTTGTTTTTGAGCCAGAAAACAAATTCCATTCCCGGCAGCTATTTTCTGAACAGTTTCCTACTTGAGTGGCGATCTTACTATGGGGAAATCCACTGAGAGAGCTCCAAGTTAGACCAATGGCAAATAGGAAACCTTGAAGTTCACGTGTCCATTCAAAGAAGTATTTTGTACTCACCATGCTGTGAATGTTAGCATTGAAGCCTGGGCTGCAGTGAGGGTTGGAGTTACAGCTGGAATTAGGAGGAATCGGCTAAGGATTGTGGTTCAGAACTCAAGGTAGGGCTTCCCTGGTGGCGCAGTGGTTAAGAATCCACCTGCCAATGCAGGGCACACGGGTTCGAGCCCTGGTCCGGCAAGATCTCACATGCCGCGGAGCAACTAAGCCCGTATGCCACAACTACTGAGCCTGGGCTCTAGAGCCCGTAAGCCACAGCTACTCAGTCCGTGTGCCACATCTACTGAAGTCCCCGCGCTCTAGAGCCCGTGCTCCGCAACAAGAGAAGCCACGACAATGAGAAGCCCACGCACCCCAACAAAGAGTAGCACCCACTCGCCGCAACTAGAGAAAGCCTGCGCGCAGCAACAAAGACCCAACACAGCCAAAAATAATAAATAAATAAAAATAAATAAATTTTAAAAAGAGAACTCAAGGTAAAGTTGAAATGTAAAATTCGACATTTTCCAGAATTTATGACATGAAATACTGCCCTTGCTAGATGCTCTGTGAATGGCTTCACAGTCAAGTACAGCTGAAGAACCCGATATTGATAACGCCCCTCTCAGATAATCACACTGAATGCTCTTATGCAAGGAGCTTCAAGAAGTTCTGCAAAAAACCCCCCCAAAACAAAAAACTGTTTAACTTAATTTTACGAAGCATTGCTCAAACGAATGTGTCCACAGAACACTTTCTTTTTAAAAAAAAAAAAATTAATTAATTAATTTTTTTGCTGCACTGGGTCTTCGTTGCTACGTGCAGGCTTTCTCTAGTTGCGGCGAGTGGGTGTTGCTCTTCATTGCGGTGTGCAGGCCTCTCATTGCGGTGGCTTCTCTTGTTGCAGAGCACGGGCTCTAGGCATGCAAACTTTGGTAGTTGTGGCTCACAGGTTCTAGAGCGCAGGCTCAGTAGTTGTGGCGCACGGGCTTATTTGCTCCACGGCATGTGGGATCTTCCCGGACCAGGGCTCGAACCCGGGTCTTAACCACTTAACCATTGTGCCACCGGGGAAGTCCCCCACAGAACACTTATTTCAGACGTTATGTGTTGACATTTGTTCTGGAAAACACTAAAAAATGCTGAATGGAAAGATTATAGATTTGGGAACTGTGATGGTCTATTCAGGAGTTACAGGTCCAAGGTCATCTTCATACTAGCTGTGACAACGTGTAAACAATCTCTCAGACTATTAATTTCCTTATCCATAAAATGGGTATAACAACTCTTACCTAGAAGAATTGTAGTGAAGATTAAAGAGATAATATCTATAAGGTAACCAGCCCATAGCATGTACTCAAAAAAATTAGAATTTCCCCCCTTAATTACAGCGTTAGGTTTTGGAAAGAGAAAGTAGCTCTTGAATATGATGAATCCAGGAAAGAATTACATCAGGATGAGATATGTGCCTTGATTAGCATTTGGGAGGGGGCATAGTACGGGTTAAAAAAGCCAGTTTTAGGACCAGACACGCCACACACTGGCCATGCGAGACCTTGGGCCAGTGTCTTCACCTGAAACTTAGCAACTTCATAGGTAAAATGCAGATATCTACTTCAGGGAGCATTCTGAGGATGAAATAAAATTGTAGGTAAAGTGCCCCATAGGCCTGGAACACAGCAAATGCCCAGAAAAATAATGGTGCCATTGATCATAATAGCATGAGGCACCATTTTTGGACACATACTATGCCAGGTAAGGAAGGGGCGGAGTTTGGCCATCTCTTCAGAGTGGAGCATGCAGACCATTTCCTCACAATGTACTTTTTAAGGATGCAGATTCCTGCTGATTCTGACTTTTGGGGGACGCAGCCCAGGAATGTGCACTTTGGCGAGCTCCCTGACTGAACCTTCTGGTCACTGAAATTTGAGAACCAATGATTGGGAGGCATGGGTTGCCAGATGGTGAAGCGGCACACCTGGACCAGATAGACACGAACTAGAGAAGGAGTGGACATTAAACGCTCTGGACTGGGAGAAGAGTGGCCCCTCGATATGAGTTTTGGACCCCCAGATTCACCATGACCCCTTAGAGAAGAGCGTTTGCAGGTGTGTGAGCCGGTACGTGCTTGGTGTGTCATTCCTGGAACAGGAGAGCAGTGGTGAGTGCGCCAGTTCCAAGTCAGAACTGAAGGAAGATAGTGGGTAAGAGACCCCAGAGACACAAAGTCAGGTTGATTGCTGACCGCGGTCCAGTTCCCATCCCATCCCACGAGGCTCAGGGGCCCCTGCACGCCTGCCCCGGGAAGCCCATGCCATGGTCATTACCAGATGTATTCTTGAGACTAAGCACTCCTGGTTTAGGAGATTTGGGACAAAATGCTCCCGGGGTGTGTGGGGTATGGGTGGTGGTGTTAAACCACAGAATCACTTTCCTTTCTTATGGGAACAGAGCTTAACATATGAAGGAAGATTATTCCTAAGTAAGGTGCACCAGAAGATCATTGCTTTATACTGTTTCCTCTAAGGTGGGATGAATATTGTATCGAAATCCTTCCCTTTGAACTTCTGCGCTGGGATTCTGCTGGTTCTACTCTTCTCTTCCTAGGAAGGTGGGGTGGTGGTGTCCTTTTGGATTCAGCTGGGACCAAGGAGGCTCCGCACCGGTGGTTGGTTTTGCCTTGGCGCTGCCTTTGGGAAAGTAATAAAACATCAGGCAATGCTCTCCACGTCCTGGGAGCAGGCGGCTTGGGCAGTCCCTGTGGCCCAAACGTGGCTGCACCCTCCTACTTCCCTGCCCATCAGGCAATGCCAGCGAGAGGTTCAAACTCCCTGGACATGTAAAGTTTTCCACCTTTCGGCACAGAGCCGAGATGTGGGAGATACCCAGTGAATACAAGGAAGCTTTCTCTTGGTTTCTGGATATTGTAGTTAAAAGAATCAAAGTACACTAAGGTCCAGAGGAGTCATCCCTATTTCTGAGCAATGCCCAAACCTAGCTCACACAGGCTTCTGTTTTTTGATCCCCAAATCCAGGCCAAGATGCCAGGGCACAAAGCTACTCACCCTTTCTTCAGCCAAATAAAATCCATAGACACATCTTCACAATGAAGCTTGAAACCAGTCAAGCACTTTTTTTTATTAAAAAAAAAAAAAGAAAAGTCTAATGGTAAAGTATATAGTCTATACATGCTACAGCTAATTCATTGTTCATCACCCCTCCCCCCTCACATTATATATCCTCATGTGTTTTTCGTGTGTGTTAAAAGGAAACAAAGACACCACCAGAATGTGTCAGCTTGCCAAGGGTATGAGGAGTGCTGAGATGTCCAGAGATCTCCAGCATCATCCTGTGAGCAGACGCGAGGTGGTGGGGCAATGCTGTCAGAGCCCACTGCTCCTGGAGGGATGCAAGAAATGGCCTAGTTACTTGGTGGCTCCCTGAAGCAGGAAATGTGGGTTGTAGCCAAGGTGACCAGTTTGTTATCACCCCGTGAGTGGAAGGGGTGCTGCTACTAACAATTACATGGGCACAATGTCACAGACGGGCGTACACTGGGGTAAAATATGGACACCTTAGTTGTGTTAGGATTGCTTATTGCCATCATAAGCCTGGTGGGTGCACCTCCTCTTGTACGTTTATAGAAGACCTGAAAGTGAAGGCTACTGGCTGTGGCACTGGGCTTGGCCTCTTCAAGGACAACAGAAGTTGAGTCCCTTGTTCCTGACTGGAGCCAAGAAGGCCTATTTGGGAGCAGACGATAAAAACGGGAAAGGTGGAATGTTGAAACACAATGGGTGGCTTGAAAACTCCACAAGGTAGCACCAGAAAGCAGACGTTACCCCATGGGGCTGGACGGTCAAGTCTGTGAGAAGGGTCCTCAGCAGGTGGTCCACGAGCAGACAAAGACTCTGGAGTCTCCTGGTTTAAACTCTGCAACTCCACAACTCTGTCTGTGACCTTCACGGGCTAAGGTCCATCTAGACGTTACTTGGCCAAGTTAGGAGCAATTCCTCCAGGCTAACGGAGGGCCTGCCGCACCCTCAGGCCTCAACGCAAGCCAGTTTCCTACTCATTCAGGCCACACTGTTTGGCAATAGGGAATCTTTGTCTATGGTCTGGTATGGTTGTTTGCAGCAGAAGCCCTGAAGGACGGGCCTGACAACCAAGGAGGGGACAAGACTGCCACGTGACTCAGGCTGTTACATGTACATTATCACAGCCCAAAGTGAAGGGCAAGACCTGACCCGACACTTAAAAACTCAGAAACAATGAAAGGACGGGAGCCAAGCCGAGGCACGAATGTTCTCGTTCTTGATGATGTTGAGTTGCCAGCTACCTGAGGCCAGGAGCGATTTCTACTTCATCCCACTCAGTGCCATGCACTCGGTACAAACGAAATAAATACTAGACTGTCCATCCCTCAGCCTAAGAGTAGGGTCTTCCAACCTTGGGGAGATTTGGCATCTGTCCTTTAATGTGGCAAGTTTGTTTTCCTACATTCTACCTGGTAAGGAAATCCTCTGTGGGCCCAGAAATGTTTTAAGGCCAAGAACTTTGTCTAAGAAATCAATCACGTGGCGAGGCTTTGGGGAGGACATGTAACATGACTACTGGAAGCCTGGTGAGGCTCTAGCAATCTCCCGGCAGGGCAGGGCATTAAAAATGGTTTGAGCTGCAGCCCAGCTCCCCAAGTCTCATCCTGGGACAAGGACATAAACCCACCAAATGGCAAAGAAATTCTGAGTAAAAAACTTGAGTAAAGGCCTGTTTTATCAAGGGGTGGTCCTAAAACGCAGATTTTCCAAAGATTTGGCGTTATGACTACAAGCTGTAGTTTTGCCCTAGGGTGTAAGATAAAACAGCCATCCCGAGAAAGTATGCGGGGGTGAGGAAAGGAATAAAATCCATCCTTGCCTGCCTTTCTGGGCTGGCATTTGGCCTGTGACCTACTGACATGTGTGATGGTGGGGTCAGGAGAGGAAAAACCTAAATTGGGAGGGAGGGTCACCTGCTTCCCTGGAAGCACCATGAACATTTCATTGTTGATGGCAGAGGAAACGTCACGGGCACTGGGGAGAAAAAACGGGATTCAAGTCTCAGCTTGGTCAATATTTGGATGACGCTGACTTCAACCTCTGAACCTCAGTGCTCTCATGACAGATTGGGGCTGATCCTAGGCACCTCACAGGGTTGAAGTGAGGATGAGATTAAAGGACGGAGCACGCGTAGGCACCGGTAACCTGCCCGGAGGCTGGCACAAAAGTTATTCCTATGGCCCTGGACATTTGCCACGGTGGTGACTCCAGGGGATTTTGCATCTGCTCTATCAAATGCGCATAGAATGGTGGCTACAGTCCTGGATGGTATCAACCTAAGCCCCCAGGTGAGGACAGCTAGGGAGAGCCGTTGGCCATCAAGACCGTCCCTTGCAGCTGCCTGGGGAAGTACCCTCACCGTGGTAGGAGGAGCTGGAGAGAGGAGTCCTCAGGCCACACATGTGTCCTGAGGAAAGAACAGTGAACAGAGAGAAATGTGGCTTTAGTACCTTCAGTTCACGCCAGAATAATAACAATAAAAAGGCTGATTACTTTTTCATGTGCAGGGAAAATTTTCTATCCAGAAAAAGGCGGAATTAGTCCATTCCCACCCAGCTGACCCCTGGGAAGAGGAAATGAAGCCAAAGACAAACGCCTTCAGTGGAATCTGCACACAAAAATCAAAGCTCTTCACAGCCAGGCGCGGAGCCACTCGCAGCCTGGTCTACACCCAGCGCCTAGTACATAGCAGGCACTCGCAAAATACTAGAAAAGGTCAATGAAAGCTGAGAGATAATCAGAAAAAAAAAATTTAGAGTTTTGTCTTTTGAAATGTGGTCAAATCCTGCATAACAGCTTCACGAATGGTGTTTAAACCAAAATGGGTCAAAAACTCAGGAAAACGTGCTGTGGGGCCTCCTCCCGAGTGAGGGGACCTTGGAGGGTGGATGGCCCTCTCCCATTCTCCCTTCTGCCCCTGGCTGCCATCTTCCCCCCAAGGTTCTGGGAACAGGGCTGGGGGCAAGTGGGCGCGGCAGGGCACCTCAGGGCCCTGTCCCAAGACTCTCGGGGTGTGGGATTTACAGACCTACTGAAGGAAGGAATAAAGATGCGATTGTGGATCAGGGAAGGATCCAGAGCCCATGTGGCAGTGAGGAGGGGAGGGGAGGGGAGGGGAGAGTGGAAGAGAGCTGTCTGCACATAAATTTTGGCACTGCAGGTAGACGGCGAGCATCCCTGGGAAAGCTGCTCTGTGGTCCCAAAAGCATGGCAGCAGATGACTACTCTGCATCAGAGATCTCTGGGGGCAGGGCCAGAGGGCCGCTTCCTCTTGTCCTGCAGAGTAGGGTGGGATGAGGAGGGGTGCTGCATTCTCACCCCCCAAGGCAGCCTGGACCCCAGGCAAGAGCTCTGGGCTGGAAGCCAGAAACCCTGGGTCCTGATTCTCGTTCTGCAGTGTAGCTGTGTCTCTACGTGACTCAGTGAAGCACATCAGTCAAAACGGGTGCAAGGGCTGCCCCGGGTTCCTTCCAGTGAGACCACAGAGAGGGAGAGTGCATGGAAAAAAAAAAAAAGAAAACTACTCTTCGAGTGCCAGAGAGGAGCAGGAAGCAGCAGCAGAGAGGAGGTTCTGCCTGGCCCTCGGGTCCCCGTCTCCTTATGGGACTACTGCCTACTCTGCCCAGTTTGCTGGAGACTCCGCTGCTGGCCCTTGAGCCACCAGGGTCCCTCAAGGCTGGCATGTGAGACCACCTTGGCTCCCTTTGCTCCATAAGTTCTATCCCCTGGGGTGGGCACCAGCACAGGAGCAGGAAACAGGGCTCTGTGGCAGCACCGGGGCCGTGGGCAGCCTCTGTGTGGAGCAACCATATGGGGTCCAGGGCAGCCTTCAGTAGATGCTACAATGGGTTGGAGGGGTGTTGGGTGTGGGAGCAGCCACCCGGCCCCCACATGCACAGCCCAGGGCAGCCAGCTGGCGTCTCCCTCTCCCCGCCTGGTTTGCCTCTTACAGGGGCAGGGCACAGGCATGGAAGTCAGGCCAGCCTGGATGCAAATCCCCTTTGCTCCTCTTCCCAGCTAGTGTGCCCTTGGGCCCATTGAACCCGTTTCCTCATCTATAAAACAGGAGTAATAGTATCAGAGAGGGCTGCTGTGAGGGTTCAGCATGAAGGTAAAGTGCCAAGTACAGCGTTTGGCACCTACTAGCTACTCAGCAAAGAGGAGCTCCCAAGGGGCGTGGCTTGTGAACGGTCCCCTTATTCAAACAAACCTTGAGATTCTTGCTCTAGGTAGGCAGAAGTGAAAGGCCCCCCCAAAAGCGGGCTGGGGATTCTTGTTTAAAAGCCCTGGGTTGGACCCCAGCCTGCAGCAGGAAAAGGGGAGCATGCTCGGAGCTGGAAGCACTCCTTTAGAACTGATCAGGGTCCCAGCACAGAAGGGAGGCAGCGTGGCTGGGAGGACCTCCAGGCCCACTCCTGGGGCAGCTGCATCTGCTTGAACCTGAGAGGCCCGTGGACCTGAGGCCTCGGGGAAGACACCACCTCCCTGGAACTGGCAACGGAGCTGACTTCTACGGGATGAAGTTCTTTCTGGGACCAGGCATTTTGGAAACTGAGTGAATCAAGTTGCTTGACATGAATGAACTGGGTGGGGTGCTGGGTTGGCAGAGGGCTACCCACACTCTGCCTGATCCGATCAACAAGAGACTCTTGCTGTAGTTTCTCCAGATGATGGATTCCGGTCCTAGAGACCTCCGAGAGTCATGGTCCAGCTGTTGGGTGGGCAGGGAAGCTGGGTGGCAAATGCCACTGGCCTTAAGGCAGGGACGCTGAGTAGAGAGAAAGGGGTGTGGCCTCTGAGCCTCCAGGGGACGCTGTGATGGGAGGGATCCCTCTCCACCCAGAGAAGGGAAGAAACCACAGTATTCCAGTCTTCCTTCCTTTGAAGCTGCGTGGAGGTTGATAAATTAAGAGGCATATTAAATATGTAGGTAAAGCCGGCAGGGTCGTGCAGGACTTCCAGGCAGGAAGGGAGCAGGCTAGGGCTTCTTTCTGAGATAGTTGGAAGGAATCCACCCTTCCCAGGAGGGGGCCCCGCTTTGCACCTGGCAGAACCACCAGCCGCTGCTGTTCTTTTCCCGGACCTCGAACACCGTCCCCTCCTGGAAGCCGCTGGTACCTTCGTCTCCTTCAAAGTTGGCCACGGCCACGTACAAGTCCTTGGGGCCGTCTGCATTGGGGAAGGGGGCTGCAGCCACTTTCTCCTTGTTTTCTCCCATCTTGCCCATCATCCGTGGCCCCAGCCCACCTTTGCCTCGCATGTCATCCTGCCCCCCTGAGGAGTTGGAGAGAAAAGGTTTGGCTTTTGGGGGGACAAGCAGGGCCCGGCCTGGGACAGGAGCTGCCTTGCCTTCGGTGGGCTCCTGCTGCGGCCCTCTGACCTCTGGAAGGGGCCCTCTGACCTCTGGAAGGGGCCTGGACGACGAGGAGGTTTTCTTGGGGGGTGGTGGTCTTCGAGGAGGGACCACAGGTCTCTGCTGGGAAGCCTCTTGGAGGGGGACTGGCACATTCTTAGGCACAGGATCTGCGGCCTTGGCCGGCCTTGGAGGGGCTCTGCAGGACATCTCCTTTGGGCTGAGCCCATCCTGTTTGCTCGTCCTGTCCTGGGCACGGCCAGGCCCCTCCCCTGGGAGGAAGCCGCGGCTGATGGCCACGTCCTGGCCTCCCCCAGCCTGGGGGCTGCTCTCTCCGTCCAACGAGGGTTTCTCTTGGGACTTGGCAGGCCTGAGCTTGCTCCTGAGGTTACAGATGTCCACTTGGTCTTCGCCCTGAGGTGGCTCTGTCCTGGGGGAAGGAGCTGGTTTTGGCCTAACCTGAGGTTTGGACTTTAAGAAGGGATTCTGGGGAACAGCTTCCGGCCTCTCCTCCGGTGGGTCAGCTTTGGATTTGGAGACAGGTCGGAGGTTGGGCTTCTTCACTTCCTTGGCCAATACTTTATGGCCACACTCCAGCCCCATCTCATTTTTCAGCTGGAACAACTTGCTTTTGTCAGGTTTGGACTCTGGTCTCCTGCTGTCCCGGGCTGGAGGCGTGTGTTTGGTTGGGATCATTGGCAAGATCATGCCAGGAGGCTTGGGTGAAGAACCTCTGAGCTGCTCCATCCTCTGTCGCTCCTGCAGCTCCCCTTCCGACTTGATGATGGATTCTTTCCGGGGAGGGAGGCTGGGCTTCTCTTCCAGGTCGGGGTCTGAGATCTCCTCGTAGCCTGCACACGAGGACGTGTCTGAAGATGCCTTCCTTGGGACCTCCTTACCACCCTTCCAGTCTTTGGACCATGGCATGGCGGAGTCCACAGCCCCATGTGGTGCATCGGGTAGGGGCCGGGACGGGCCGACGGCTTCACTGCCCGTGCAGTTCTCCATTGCTGCTGCATCTCCCAACCGGAGCTGCGTCACCTCATTGGGCAAGGGAGCCAGAAAGTTGGGTCTTGAGGCATTGCTGGTTTTCTTATACTTATCGATGAAAGTCGCTGGGGCCCACCCTTCCTTATCTTCAATCTGAATGTACCACCAGCCGCTCAAGTTCTTCTCGATCACCTGGAAGGGAGGCCAGAGGAAAGCACTGAGTAGGTATGGTGTCAGGGCCAGTGGGCCAGCATGGTCTGGGAGAACCCACATGCAGCTGGGGTTCTGGAATCAGGGATTTTACATTCGTCAGATTCCCAGACAATATCTCTGGGGGACCATCTATGAGACTGCTGTGTATCAGAAACATCTTACATGGGGGTAGGTGCTCGTGTAATTTTGGATTTCCTCAAAATCAGTCCTTGAGATATGAACTGGGGTGTAGGTAGTTAATCTGAGAGATGATTCCAGGAAGCCCAAGTGAGGAACTGAGGAAAGGGAGAGCCAGTTAGGAGCAGGGCCAGTGGGGCTTAATTTAACAGGGACCCTCTGAGAGACTGTGCCGAGTCAGACATTGGGGGTGGGGACACTTATCTCCTGACCCCCTCCCCAAGACATTAACCCTCCCCCTTTCTGGGTGATGCCCTTAGGTGGGCATAGGAGGTAGGAAGCAGTTGCGGGGTTGGGATAGAGGGCAGGCCACCAGCGGTGTCTGCTAAAATTCTGAAGAAGTTCAAGGCGAACCCCCGATACAGCCCAAACTAGCCTTGATCGCTGCTCCTTTGGTTGAGCATCAGACAGAGCAGTTGGCTGGTGTTTATATGCCATGCCGTATGAAAAATGTGCATCCTGAAATGTGGGGAGCACACCTAGCTCATGTTTAGGAACAGGGGAACTGATGCTGATGGAGGTACAACAAACTCATCTCATCTCCCTCTCCCTCTGGGATACACACCCATTGACTGGAACGGTGGGTGGAATCACTCATGTTATTTAATACCTTATGTTTCCTGTCTCCTTTTTGTTTAGTACCACGTGGCTAAATTCACACGGGTGAAAGGTGCACACGCTGCATGTTACGGGCTGAACTGAGTCCCCCCCAGATTATATGTTGAAGCCCTAACCTCTGTACCTTAGATTGTGACTGTGTTCGAAGACAGAGCCTTTTAAGAGGTAATTAGGTTAAAATGGGGTCATTAGGGTGGGCCCTAGTCCACTATGACTGTTGTCCTTATAAGAGGAGATGAGGACACACAGAACATCCAGAATGAGGGCCGACCACGGGTGAACACAGAGAGAAGGTGGCCAGGTGTGAGGCAAGGAGAGAGGCCTCAGGAAAAGCCAAACCTGCTGACACCTTGATCTTGGACATCCAGCCTATAGAACATGAGAAAATCCATCTCTGTTGTTTAAACCACCCAGTCCTCTGTGATGGCAGCCTGAGCAAACTAATAAACAGCAATACCACAGCAGGCTCTGTGCACAGGAGAGCTGGTTAATGATTACAACCACCTGATGAGATGGGGATTGTCATCCCATTGTACAGATGCAGAACCAAGCCTCAGGAGAGCTGAGGAGCTCGCAGAGGGTCACGCAGAAAGTCAGTGGTGGAGGCGGGAGTCAAAGGCAGCCTGGTGGGCTCCAGAGCCTGAGGCTTTACTACCCAGCCCTGGCCTGGAAAGTGGACCTTGCTTGGCGGGGGAGCCGTGCCTGAGGTGAGAAAGCGCTAGGGGCTGAGGGCTGTGGGTATGGTTCTGCTGTTGCGCTCTGCCACCCAGATCAGAGAGAAAGGCAGCCACAGACCCAGTGCAGGAGCAGAGGCTGGCCTCTGGCTGCAGTCCTGGGTTCTGGTTCTGGCTGCCTCAACAGCCCTGGGTAAGCCACAGGCCTGAGATGCTACATCACAAAACAGAGAGGATGGTAAGAACAGTAATGCCTGCTTGTAGGGTTTCCATGATGACCACATAAGCTAATGCGTGCAATAGCACTTGGTAAAGGCTGAAAGGAAAATGTTACCTATTAGTATTAAATTACAGGGGAGAGCACTGAGAACGCAGCAGGCATGTGGCAGGCATATACTTAACACGTCCCACTGGAGTCTCTCCAGGAAAGGGTACTGATAAATGGAAGCCCTTTACGTGCTGGTGACCAGCATCTTATCAACACTTGGTAGCTCTGGTAATGACTAAAGGTGATTCTGGGCATACAAGTCATTGTCAGCACATCCGTGAATTCAACAACTGTAAGACTAAGTATGTACGTGAGCAAATGAAAATAGAACAATTAATCAAAATGAAATCTATCAATGAGGATTTGCTAAGCTTACACTCTACCATGTACTATGGCAGAAGCTCTCAACATTTGTGTCCTTAATTTCGATGTATGGGAGTTTTCATTTACTAGATAGAAGCTAAGAGCTATTACGAATACAGTCAGTCATACCTAATTAAAAAATTTTTTTTAATTAATTAATTTCTGGCTGCGTTGGGTCTTCGTTGCTGCACGAGGGCTTTTTCTAGTTGCAGTGAGCGGGGGCTACCCTTCGTCATGGTGCACAGGCTTCTCATTGTGGTGGCTTCTCTTGTGGAGCACGGGCTCTAGGCACGTGGGCTTCAGTAGTTGTGGTATGCAGGCTCAGTAGTTGTGGCGCATGGGCTCAGTTGATCCACGGCTCGTGGGATCTTCCCGGACCAGGGTTCGAACCTGTGTCCCCTGCATTGGCAGGTGGATTCTTAACCACTGCACCATGAGGGAAGTCCCCAGTCAAACCTCATTTTATTGCACTTCACTTTATTGCACTTTGCAGATACTGCATTGCTTTTTTTTTGCTGTTGTTACAAATTGCTCATTTTCACAATATTTCAAACTTTTTCATTGTTATTATATGTGTAATGGTGATCTGTGGTCAGTGATCTTCGATGTTAGTACTGCAAAAAGATTATGACTTGCTGAAGGCTCAGATGATGGTTTGCATTTTTTAGCAATTAAGTTTTTTCTTTTTTTGCGGTACGCGGGCCTCTCACTGTTGTGGCCTCTCCCGTTGAGGAGCACAGGCTCCGGATGCGCAGGCTCAGTGGCCATGGCTCACGGGCCTAGCCGCTCCACGGCACGTGGGATCTTCCCAGACCGGGGCATGAACCCATGTCCCCTGCATCGGCAGGCAGACTCTCAACCACTGCGCCACCAGGGAAGCCCCGCAATCAAGTATTTTTTAATTAAGGTCTGCACTTTTTTTTAAAAATAAATTTATTTATTTTATTTGTTTATCTTTGGCTATGTTGGGTCTTCGTTGCTGTGCGCGGGCTTTCTCTAGTTGCGGCTTTCTCTAGTTTCTCTCCTCTTCAGTGAGGTGCTCAGGCTTCTCACTGGGGTGGCTTCTCCCGTTGCGGAGCACAGGCTCCAGGTGCGCGAACTTCAGTAGTCGTGGCACACGGGCTGTGCCACAGGGAAGGCGGGTCTGCACATTTTTTTAGACATAATGCTATTGCACACTTAATAGATTATAATAGAATGTAAACACACTTTGATATGCACTGGAAAACCAAAACATTCATGTGACTTGCTTTATTGTGATACTGGCTTCATAGGGGTGGTTTGGAACCAAACCTACAATAGCTCCAAGGTTGGCCTGTAAAAGCAAATGCAAAGTCACAAGAATGGAGATGAAAAAATGTAGCCTGGGCTTTAAAACCAGAGAGATTTGGGATCAAATCCCAGCTGTGTAACCTTGGACATTTACCTAATCTGTAAAATGGGCTGGGGACTTCCCTGGTGCTGCAGTGGTTAAGGATCTGCCTGCCAAGGCAGGGGATATGGGTTTGAGCCCTGGTCCGGGAAGATCCCACATGCCGCGGAGCCACAGATCCACTAAGCCCGTGCGCCACAACTACTGAGTCCGCGTGCCTAGAGCCCGTGCTCCACAACAAGGGAAGCCACCGCAACGAGAAGCCTGCGCACCACAACGAAGAGGAGCCCCTGCTCGCCGCAACTAAAGGAAGCCCACGCGCAGCAACGAAGACCCGACGCAGCCAAAAATAAATAAATATTAAAAAATAAATAAATAAAGATAAAATGGGCTGAAGGTGTCGACCTCTTGGGACTTCTGTGAAGATCAGTTATGAAGGATGTAAGGTACTCGGCACGGATAAGTGTCTGTATCGACATTTAAAAAAAAATAAAATGGGCTCAATGTATCGACCTCTTGGGACTTCTGTGAAGATCAGTTATGAAGGACGTAAGGTACTCGGCACAGATAAGTGTCTGTATCATCATTATCATCGTATCATCCTTAGTAAAACATGTTTTGAAGATACATGGACCAAGCAAGGAACTAAGGTATTCCTTGTAGCTCCACTGCTAGAATACTGTGGTTCCATTCATGAATCCTGAACACTAAGATGATGTTGAATTGAACCAGGAAGCAAAACTGGAGGAGAAGAAAACAAAGGATACAGTGTTTATCATAAGAACTCTCGGTTAAACCAAAAACTGTAGGGTCAGCTATTTCTCACTCAAGTCCTTCAAGTCATCACTAGCAGAACCTATGCTGACATCACAGAACAATAGGAAAGCAGAGAAGTTTCAAGGATGGGTTACATTTGTGCTTCCTGGGAAAGAATGCTGGGTATGTGAGCTATTTATTGGCTCAGCTTTAGCAAAAACAGACAGAATAAAAGCCAGAAATGAGACAGGGAATGGTTCTGGTTGAAGTGCGGACGCAGCCTTGGAGGGAGACTCCCCAGCATCTCCAGAAGACCCCAGGGATCCATTTACTCCCTACTGCACACAGCGTCAGCCCTCAGCTTCACTGCATCGTCCGGAACACCTTGAGCTGCCCTAGGTGGATTTCCGAATGCTCTGAGCCAGGGAGTGCTGGTGCGTATTGGCAAATGCCCTGTTTGCCAGCACGCTCAAACAATGGTGTGTGTTTGTACAAAATGCTGGAAACTCATTGTCTTAAAGGAGAAGAAGGTTTTATCATGTTCTTCAATGCTCTTGGGAAAAAACAAACAAACAAAAAAACTTTTATAATATGCAAGCCAGACTTCTGGTTTCAAGATGGGAGACGGAATGAACAGCAGTTTCCCCTTAATGCAATAAAGCCAGGAAACAAATGAATATCAGTAGAAAGCCAAGTGCAGAAAGAGGAAGGGGAGAAGTTAGTGGACTAGGAATTGTGAGGAATCACGGATGGGCAGAAGCTGCAAAGGGGGGCTGTGGCCCAGGACTGCTGCAGGGGGTTTTGTTGCAAAAGGTAGTAGCAGTGTGAGGTCTGCCAGACTTTGAGGGGGTAGGATCTGAGACTAGGAAGGCCCAGGGGCAAGTGACAGGGGATTAACTGGGATACCACGGCAGAAGCAACAAGGCTGGTTGACCCCTCTATGCCCTTTGTTCCATTCCTGTAGGGGAGGTGGTATGAAGGAGGTGATTGCTCATGAGTGGAACAGCGAAAGAATGAGCTTGGGTCAGAGACAAGACACTGCTCAGTGGCTGGCTCAGAAGTCCCCGATCTGGCACTGAAGCCGGTGGAAGTCAACCAGCCCCTTGTGTACACTCCCCAACTGGGCTGTTTGACTGCTGCCTCTTCTTGTACTGCCCAAGACAAGTCCTAACACCATGAAAAGAACTGAAATAACTAATACCAACACCACTGCAAAGGATTTACAACCGAGGAGAGAGATCATGAACAATAACATATTTAATATCCTTATACAGATATAGAAGGGCATCGACATCGTGAAAGAACAGGCTATTATGAAATGAGAACACGTAACTAGGAAAAAGAATCAATAAGTGCTCTTGGAAATAAAAATGATAGTTGCTGAAATAAAATAAGAAACAGACTGAATTCTTAAAGAGCAAATTAATGGACTAAAAGATGAAGCAGAATGCTCTAGGAATGCAGTACAAAGGGATGAAGGTGGAAAATATGAAAGAAACGTTAAGAGACATGGAAAATAGGGGCAGAAGCTCCCATACTGTTTCATAACCATTCCAAAAGGAAAGAATAAAAAGAGTGAAGAGAGTCATTATTTAAAGAAGTAAAAGTGATGGACTTCCCTGGAGGTCCAGTGGTTAAGACTCTGTGCTTCCACTGCAGGGGGCAAGGGTTTGATCCCTTATCAGGGAACTAAGATCCTGCATGCCATGCGGTGGGGCTCCCCTACCACCCCCCCCCCCAAAAAAAAAAGAAGTAAAAGTGGGAAAATTTCTCGGAAGATCTCCTGAGTCCTTAGATTGAAAAGACCCACCACATGCTGAGCAGGATATAAAAATAAAGAAACATACCTAGACATGCTTTAGTGAAACGTTGGCATTTTAAAGACAGTGAGGAGCTCCTGAGAAAATCAGAGAAATGACAGCTAATGAAAAAGAGAACAAGGACCAGGTGGAGAGTAGCTGCTTCCTAGCAACACTAGATGCAGGAAAAGAATGGGACAATCTATTCAAAGTGCCAAGGGAAGATGACTGGAATTCAAAACTCAGTCACTGAAGAATGAGGGGAGAATATTTTTCATAATGTCAAGAAAGCATTATGTACACAAATGAGGGCCTGTCCTTAGTTAAGGATTGAGATGTATGGTCCCATAGAAGCTAACGGAAGGGTAGGAAGGGACCCCAGTGTGAACCTGGGAAGGCTTCCCAGAGGAGGCAGGGATTTGAAGAATGAGGTGGATTTTGATATGCCAAGTTCAGTTCTAAGAATGGCCTTGAGAGCCTTCTATAAGAAAACACGTAGTGGGCTAGGAGCTGGGTTAAAGGAAGGTTAAAGGCAGAGAGAGCAAGAGAGGTGGGGAAGGGCCAGCTGAACCAGTGGGGTTCAGAGGAAAGCAGTGAAAATAAGGCTGAATAGCAATGGGAGGAAGAACAGCCCTTGATGTGGAAAGATGTTAAGAGACAGGCATATGTTTCATGTCAGAATAACATACATGTTTTAAACAGCAAAATGGGGGAACTGGGCACAGAATTATCTTAAAGCACAAGCAAGATGCCTTGTGAGTTCTCTCTGTGGATTTGAAATTAGAAAGAACAGATTGGGAGGAAAAAAAAGGAGCAGATAAAAAGCCTTTTAGAGCCTTGGAGGTATTTCCACCGTCCCCTCAGTTTCTCTGGGAGGATTGGGATTTGCATTTTAAAAAATTAGTTTGACAGGCTTCAACCCAGGTTCTTTAAACACCCCTGCAGACAGCCCTCCTGCTGTCTGCATGGATTAAAGGACACTTGGCTTGAGGAGAACTTTCTAGAGAGGCTTGGGCAGAATCAGTGGTGGTGAGACCCAGGATGCACCTTTGGGAAGTCGCCTCCTCCCGGGCTCACTGGGCAGCTGCCCTGGGACTCGAGGGGGAGAGAGGGCGGGGGCAGGAGGTGTCAGAGCGGGAGGGAAAATGGTGGGTTCTTTGGAGGCCTAGAGAAGTGACTAAAGACCCTTAGGGCATGTGCCACACTTATGCACTGGCTCAGTAATCATTTGTTCACTCTTTATTTCCTCCGTTCATTCAAACATTCATTCATAAAGGAATGGCTCTCTGAGCACCTACTGTGGACCAGCCCCAAGGCCAGGGTTAGGGACGAGAATGAAGAAGAAAACACTCCCTGGTTTTCTGGGTGTTAGCAGGAGGCTAGTGGGGAGATGGATTTTCATTGATTCAACATTTATTGCAAATCTATCACGTGCCAGGCACTGTGCTAGCTGTGGGGATAGAGAAGTAAAAAACAGATACGGTCTCCATCCTCCTGAGATCCCCAAATACTGGGCAGATAAACAGCAGGCTGTCAATAGCCCTGGTTCTAATCTGGAGACAGACATGGGTTCAAATCCTGACTCTGCCACCTTTTGGCTGTGTGACCTTGGACAGCACCTTTTTTCTGAGCCACAGCTTCCTCCTCTGAAAAATGGGAATTGTAATAGTCCTGCCTCACATGAGTAACTGACGATATGATTAGGCAAGATACGGCATGTGAGGTGCTTAGTGCAGTGGCCGGCACCTAACTGCTATCCCATTACTTACGGGCTTTCCTGGAAACATGGGAAACACCTTCAAGCTCTAACCCCAGGAGAAAGAAAAGAGAAATGGGAGGGGAGAAAAGATTTATGATGGCCTTTACGCAGGGAACGGAGTAGACAAGCAAAGAAGTGGGAAGTAAAGGGGAGAGGAGGGGCAATCAAGGAGGCAGGAGGTGATGAAAAGAGGCAAATCTATAGACACAGGAAATAGATCAGTGGTTGCCTAGGGCTGGGGCAGGGGCACTGAGAGGGATTGAGGGGACGTGGGGAGGGACTGCTAATGTGTACAGGGTTTCTTACTTGGGTGATGAAATGTTCTAATGTTGATGGTGGTGATGGTTGCACAACTCTGTAATTAAACTAAAAACCACTGAATTTTATACCTTAAATCACTGAGTCATATGTTATGTGAATTATATCTCAGTAAAGCTGCTACTAAAAAAAAAAGAACACAGGAATAGGAGATGGTGCCTAGAATCAAAAATCACAAGTAGTACAAGCCTTTGTACAGCAAAGGAAACCACAAACAAAACGAAAAGACAACCCATGGACTGAAAAAAATTATTTGCAAATGATACGACCGACACGGGCTTAATCTCCAAAATATACAAACAGCTCATGTAACTCAACAACAAAAAACCAAACAACCCAATTGAAAAATGGGCAGAAGATGTAAACAGACATTTCTCCAAAGAAGACATACAGATGGCCAACAGGCACAAGAAAAGATGTTCAACATCGCTAATTATTAGAGAAATGCAAGTCAAAATTACAATGAGGTATCACCTCACGTGGGTCAGAATGGTCATCATTAAAAAATCTACAAATAAATGCTGGAGAGGGTGTGGAGAAAAGGGAACCCTCCTGCACTGTTGGTAGGAATGTGAGTTAGTGCAGCCACTATGGAGCACAGTGTGGAGGTTCCTCAAAAAACTAAAAATAGAGTTGACATATGACAATGGCATATATCTGGACAGAACTCTAATTCAAAAAGATACATGCACCCCAATGTCCACTGCAGCACTATTTACAATAGCCAAGACATGGAAACAACCTAAGTGTCCACTGACAGAGGAATGGATAAAAGTGTGGTGTGTACACACACACACACACACACACACACACACACACACACACACACACAATGGAATACTAGTCAGCCAGAAAAAAGAATGAAATAATGTCATTTGCAGCAACATGAATGGACCCAGAGATTATCATCCTAAGTGAAGTAAGTCGGAAAGAGAAAGATAAACATCATACGATATCACTTATATGTGGAATCTAAAATATGACACAAATGAACTTACCTATGAAACAGAAACAGACTCATAGATAGACAGAATAGACTTGTGGTTGTCAAGGGGGAGGTAGGTGGGGAGGGACAGACTGGGAATTTGGGATTAGCAGATGCAAACTATTATATATAGGATGGATAAACAACAACGTCCTACTGTATAGTACAGGCAATGATATTCAATATCCTGGGATAAACCATGATGGAAAAGAATATGAAAAAGAATGCATATATACGTATAACTGAATCACTCTGCTGTACAGCGGAAATTAACACAACACTGTAAATCACCTATACTTCAAAAAAAATAAATTAAAAAAAAAAAAAGGGAATCACAGGTAGACAAAGTGAGACCACGTCCACTCACCTCGACCTTCAGGCCCGCCTGGAAGCTGATGCCATCAGGGATGGTGGTCTGGAATTCAGCAATGGTGTAATATTCTTCCTCCACTTGGGGTGGGATGGGAGGCTTGGGCAGACCTCGAGGCTGGTACAATTAAACACAGTGTTAAAACCACTGTAAGTCCATTCCCATGGCGCTGAATGGGAGGCGCTAAGGGATTGGGGCACACAATCACCCTCAAGGGGGCGCTGGCGGACCCATTTGGATGCTAGGACACAACAAAGGGGACCACTCAGATCATCGTCTTCTAGATAGGTCACTGGCCTTTCAGCTTTAGGGCAATGAGAAAAAACATGGGACATTTGCCTATAATCATGAAAATTTGGGGCAAGACAATATTCTCTGAACTTAAGAGGCGACAAGTGTTGTGAAATGAACACAGGTTTGCAAGTTAGACCCATTGGTGTGACTTTGGGCAAATCCCTTCCCCTCCTGGAGGCCTGAGTTTTATCTCCTGTAAAATGTGGGTAATAACAGGATCTACCTGGTGGGGTCACGGAGCGCATTCAACGAGTTCACGTAGTGAAACACCGGCATACTGCCTGGCACCCAAAAGGTGCTCGATAAATGGCAGACATTAAAAGAAGAAAGCCCATTTTCAAAGTACTGCTTACAGAGTTAAAAATGGAGTATGAAAGTAAGAGATCAGAACGGCACCACAAGCGAAACGTGTGCCTTATCCCATTTTGGTTTCAAGTTACGTTATTCAAGGAGACTTATCTAAGATAAAGCGGAGTCGGCTCAGGAAGCAGAAAGTACATCCTGAGACCTAACTGTCACAAAGCCATGGGCGAACTGTTTGATCTCCCTGGACCTCAGTCTTTCCACCTGTCAGTGGGATTAGCTTCACAAGGCTGCTGTGTGGGCAGGAAAGAGTGCATCCTTGGAGAAGGCGAGGTGAGTGTCAGGGGGCTAATCTCAGGTCAGGGTCTGGCTCCCCAGTTGCAAGGGTCCACTTACTATGGTCATATCCCGGCGAGGAGGGGGTCTCTGTCTCATCTTGGGTGATCCTATAAAGAGACGACAGATAAAATTCCTGAGGTGGACACCACGAGAGATCTATTCTCTCCTGCAGGAGATGAGGCATCACATTCAGCACAGGCATCAGCGAGCGACTGCGACGCTTCCTATGGGAGAGCCCAACTAGAAAGGGGACACTCAGACTGGGTTCAGGACTCTCCGTCAACAAGGGGATGGTGCCCAGTCCTGGAGCAATGGAAAGCCTTCCAGCAAAGGCAACAAGTGCAGGCTTCAGAGTAACGCAGAGGTGGGAGGCTACAAGTTATGTGACTTTGAGCTGCATGGTCCTCTTCTGGAGAGGGGGTGATAATGCCTGCCTCCTGGAAGCAGTGGTGGAGATGAAAGTCAACAATACAGGTGAGGCTCTTGGCATGTGGCAAGCACGCATTAATGGTACTGCCCCTGGCTTCGTGCTCTGGAACACACCCAAATTAAACAATGCATAAACAGAGCCAAACAAACTTGGACTGAGGACTTCAGGGGTTTTTACTCTGGAGTTGGGCTGCCCCTGCTCTGGGTCTCAGGATCAAGAAGAGGACGACTCTGCAGTGGTCCAAGGCTCCTGGCTAAGGGCAGAACATTGAGGAAGGCACCCCATATGCTGTCAGAGCTGGTTTAGCATGGGTCTACACAGAGGTGTAGTTTGGTAGTTGGCGTGTAGAGGAGACTGCAAAACTCTTAAATACCCATTTTTCCTGTCTTCTATTAGAAAAAAAATCACAACAGAGTTTTAGCCAGACACTTGACTGCCTACATAAAGACTACATTTCCCAGACTCCCTTGCAGCTAGGTACTGCCATGTGACTAAGTTCTGGCTGATGGGATGTGAAAGAGTAACAAGTCTGTAGCTTCTGAGTCCAGCCTTCCACTTCTCCCTGCCTCATTTTCCTTGGCCGGACTGGCGGTGAGCCCTCCTGGACCAGGAGGATGAGGGCAACACAAGATAGATACAGCATAACAAGACTCGTGACTGGATAGAGTTGCCACAGCAGCTCTGGACATATACCTGACTGCTCGGTGAGAAAGAAATAAACATCTAAATTACTTGAGCCATTGTTATTGGGTGTATGTGTGTGATAGTATTGGGGAGTCTTTGCTTGAGCATCTGAACCTATATATCCTAACAGAGACACGGGCTTTCAGATTTTCACTCGCTCCTCTAGTGTTAATGGGAATCCTCCTATGCTCTTGGCCACGCATGATAGGATCCTGCCACGGCATGTCAGTGTTTTCTCAGAGTGGCTGAGAACAACTGAGAGACTCAAGAAGTTCACTGACCATAAGAGTCACTTTAAACAGCTGGAGAAGCCCAGCGAGGGGCAAGTGACTGCATCCTTGTGGCTAGTTTTTAGTCCTTTCCCAACAGACAGACTCCTTCTGCCCTGTACAGGGTCACATGCTTGAGGCTGGCATCCTGGGTATGCAGCAGACAACAATAATGAACCTACTCTCAGGTGTGCTGGGAACATTAAATGGTAAAATAGCTTTGAAAAGCAATATGAGTAAAGAACTATCTTCGGAATAAACCCAACACAGGGTCCGCTTTTTCTTCCCCTGGCTCAGAAATGAGGCCCTGCAGACAGACCACTGGCACTTGAGTCAGAGGGACCTGGGTTCAAGTCCTGGCTCCACTGTTCACTAGCTGGGTAGCCTTGGACAAATCCTTTCATCTCTGTTTCCTAACCTGTAAAATAAAAGGAGTAGGTCCTTCAAAGGTTGTTACAAGGAGTCAGTGAGACTGATTATAAGATTCCTGGCACCTAGTAGGGGCTTGAGAAACAGGAGCTCTGGTGATATGAGACGGTGGAAAAAACATGGCTTGAGTAGGAAAGCCACGTCTCTCCACTCAGGTTCTGCAACTTGCTGGCTGAATGAACTGGAACGAGTGACCTGGGGTTTGTGAGCCTGTTTTCTTATCTACAGGACGGTGGGCAGCAGGGCTGCCGTGAGGATGAGGGACAACGTGTGAGGACCTCTGGGCACAGAGCCTGGCACGTAGTAGGTGCCCAGCTGCCGGGAGCTCGGGTGGGCGGCACTTACTCTGCTTGACGTCACTGTCGGGTGCCGGGCGGCCTTCAAACCGGCCATCCCTCTGGTTGTTGAGCAGCTCCTTCTCCCGGCCCACCGAGTTCTGCTGCCGGGAGACGCCGTCCAGCTCGAGGACGCCCGCGTGGGCGGGTGAGCCGGGGCCCAACTTTGGGGGTACAGGCTCCCCGCTGCTCTTCTTTAGGTAGGAGGCTGGGGCCCAGCCCTCTTTGCCCTGGTACCTGGGAGGAGGGGGAAGGATGCCCGTCAGGCTGCCCTGCCAGGCCCATGGGAAGAAGTTGCACTCCTACTGTGAATCCCACTTTGGGTCCCAGATGGCAGGAACACTGGACCACGACCTGCCCAGGGCCAGGGGCTGGTACACCGCTTGCTGCCTCCTGATGAAGCCTAAGCCCTCAGCTGGGCCTCCCCAATCTGGCCTCTCCTTACCTCCCCAGCCTTGGCTCTCACGGCAACCCCCAGGTCCCGCCCACCCCACACAGCTTGCGCTCTCCCAAAAGTTCCACCATCTCTCACCCCCCTGCCCCTGCTCTTAGAGACCCTCTGCCTGGAAAGCCCATTCTCTCTCTCTCTTTTTTTTTTTTTGCGGTACGCGGGCCTCTCACTGCTGTGGCCTCTCCCGCTGCGGAGCACAGGCTCCGGACGCGCAGGCTCAGCGGCCATGGCTCACGGGCCCAGCCGCTCCACGGCATGTGGGATCTTCCCGGACCGGGGCACGAACCCGTGTCCCCTGCATCGGCAGGCGGACTCTCAACCACTGCGCCATCAGGGAAGCCCAAGCCCATTCTCTTTTGTGCTCCTCTTTCCCAGCTCTGCTTAATACCATGCCCCCTCTCAAGCCTTTCCCGAGCCTCCCTCCACGGTGCCCCCCACTGTCTCCTGCACACCCCACAATCCCAACACCTATAACACCCAGTGACACTTGGCTGTGACGGTCCTGTCTCCCCACTTAGAACTCGAGCTCCTGGGGGCGAGGATCATGGATGATTCGTCTGTGTGTGTGACGGCCCTCGCTCCCAGTGAGTTGAGTGAAGAAAAAAGGGGACACGTGGACAAACTGCCAGTGGACCTGGCAAGGGTGAGCAGCCACAAAGCTCCGCTACAGCCACTGTCCCCGTACAGTCGTCACTACTGGGACCATGATGATAACGGTAAATGACACTTGGTGAGCACCTACTCCATGTCCTTCCTGTTCCAAGCACTTGATAGCTATTGCTATAGTTCATCCATCCAACCTGAGGGTTGGCAGAAATGGATCCAGACCTAGAAAGCTGGCACCAGAGTCTGTGCTGCTTTGCTGCCTCTTCCCAGAAGCCCCAGCTCCCGGCACAAAGCCTGGCATAGGCAGGGTGGGCCTCCAGTCATATTGCTTAACAAGTAGATTAAACACGCGTTCAGATGAGAACAAAGCAGGTCGGGGGTTGGTTCCAGGGTTACCACAGGTCACTGAGCTTCAGAGTGACTGAGACCCTGACAGACCAGCTCACTGAATTCCAAAGGGGACTGAACGAGTGTAACAATCATTTAATTCTCTGCACTATGGAAGTCGGTTGAATAGCATGACCAGAGGGGTTGATTGGGACCAGAGGTGTGCTGGAGTCAGCTCACAGCACTTGTGAGAGCCAGCTGTTCATATCTCTTCCCAACTCGGCATTTAGTGCCATCACACTGGGAGCTTAAAATCTGCCACGGTGGCAGTATTTACACCACAGAAATTGGCAAACACGGCAACTCAAGAGCATTTTCCCCTGGAGAGCTGGCTGTTAAAATTGCCAGCATCCCACTGGTCTGAACCACAAAACAGGTGCCCACACCTTTGGGGACGACATCTAACAGACTGGAGATGATATATGGCAGGGTCACATCTCGTCAAGAATCACCTTAAGAACTAAATAGCACTGCGTTTCAATAAAAAAAAAAAAAGTCCTTTATAACAAGAAGCATACTTAAAAGGAGGCAGAAATCTTCAGTTTGGTGTCTATCAATCTTAAAATATCCCCTGAGAAGGACTAAATCTTGTGCTAATTGGAAAACGTCAGACTACACACAATCCGGGCATCACTATGAGATAGTTCATCACTTGGGACACAAAGCCATAAGCAGAGAGGCAACACATGCAATGCTGAGGGGGCTTTGGGGTCAGAAAGGTAGGGGTTCAAAACCTGGTTCGGTCACTTTCTAGCTTCAGTCGAAGCTGCTGATGACCGTGGCAACATCCACTGCAACCTCATGAGGGACCCTGAGCCCAGTCGAGCCACCAGAATTCCAGAGTCACTAAGTTTTGGGATAATTTGTTACACAGCAAGGTAACACCTATAATCCAGATATGTGAGTTACTGTTGTCATTACTCCGGCTTCAAACCTCAGTTCTGAGGAAGCCTTCCTGACTCCCGGGCTGAGGAGCCCTCTTCTGTGCTCCAAAGTCCCCTGTGCAGCCCTCCTACGCCCCACGCGCCTCCCTGCCCTGTACTTGTGTCTGAGTCTGCCTTCTACGCCTGTGGGTCTGAACTACTGTCTCTTTCTCACTGTTACTCACCAGCTTTCAGCAGACAGCTTGGCCCAAAATAGATTTTGGTGTAGGTTTGCTGAATGAATTAAGGGTTACACACTCAGCCCCATGTGAGTGGTCCCAGTGTCCTGCCTCATGTCCGGCTTACATCACGGCACAGACACCAGGTGGCAGGGACCTCAGGCTTCTTCTCTTGCCCTAATTTCCTGAGGCTGCACCCTGCCCGCCCGGGTAACCAAAGAGGGAGTTCCCCGGACTTTCATTACTAAAACTGGGAAAGTCCCAAGTAGAGCACGATGAGTTGGCCACCTTTACCTATGAGCTTTCAATTCCATCACATGAGTGAAAGAGCAAACTGTTTGGAAAGCCGGTCTCCACTGGACTCTGAGAGATGACGGCAAATGATCAGCTTTAGGACGGGCTACTGTCCATGTGGTGTTTAGCATCCTGTTGCTCTCAGAGCGGGGCTGGAGTGGGAAATCACTCACGCAGGGCAGCTTCAGCCTCCACTTACTCATTATGAGACACATCTGGAGGTGGAGACCAGTCTTGCTCAATTGGGTTACTGCTATCGGTGGTTCAGTGTGTTTAGAGACGGTTTTGCTTATTATGCATTTTTAGAGAAGGATATGGGTAGGGAAGGAAGCCAAACAGCACAGAGGAGAAGCGTCCTTTTATAGCTCAGGCTGAAACCTCACCTCCTCTGCAACTGCTTACAGATATCTGTGCAGCTGGAGCCTCTATGACCTGAAACCCACCCAGCTGCAGAGGGTACCTGATCTTCCACCAGCCTTCCAGGTTTTTCTGGATGACCTCCACCACAGCTCCTCTCTCCAGGTTCATTTCATCTTGGTCACGAGCTGTGTATGGGTAGATGACTGTGTACTTCTCCTCTGTGGGGACAAACAGATGTTGGGGTAAGTCAAAGACACTATATAAGCCCCGGGACGTTGATGGCCAAGGCTGTGATCTGAGAGATGCCCTCGTAAGGAGGGATTTCCTCCAAAGACTTCTGTGCACCATCTCTGTTCCCACCCCCCCACCCCCGCCCCTGGCCCCAATAAGCGACCCTCACTTAGTGCTGGATGACCCTGTGCAAGCAGCAACAGGACACAGGACAAATGGCAGGTCAGTTCCTCTGAAATCCCTCAGCATCACACATTTGCACTCACCTTCCTCAAATCTGTGCCTCAAGGTCACCTTCCTTGACCTTGCCTTAGGTAATACCCAGACCCATGGCACCCTCATCCCCCTTACCCGGGTTTATTTTCCCCCCTTACCAGGAATTACCTTCTAACATACCAGATAATTTACTTATATTATGTTCCATGTCTGTTTCCCCTGCTAGAGTAAGCGCTCCAGGAAGGCAGGGGTTTGAGTCTGTCTTGTTCATTCCTCTGTCTCTAGCACTGGGCACGGTACTGGGAATATTTAGGAACTATTTAGTAAAATAGTCAATGTTTAGTAAATGAACAAGTCCCGAAGGCCTGGTGGGAGGCACCCTGCTCATGCTGCAGCAGGGGCGGGGTGGACGTTAAACCCTCTGTGGCTCCTCTGCAGTTCTTAGTGGTGGAGGGTCAGGGACAAGCTAGATCTGGCAGCATATATATGGTTTGGGGTGGAATCACTACCAGGGAGGAGACAGCTAGCAGTGCTCATTACCTAGCTGGTAGCTGATCTCCATTTTTCATTGTTTTCAAGCCCCTGGATCCAACCACGCCTGAAGCTTCAATTTTATTTTTTTAAATTTATTTTTTTAATTGAGATATAATCGACTTCTGGGTGTACAACATAATGATTTGAGATATATATCATGAAATGATTGCCTGCTTCTGTTTTCATTAACACCACTGGGGTGCTTTCCATCCCACTCTCAGTGGTTTCCTGCTCCTACCCCCAAAGCCAAGAGAGCTGCCTCGGGCTGTGTCCCTCCCACAGCAGGACCTCACCCCCGACCCCCTGCAGGGCCCCGCTGGCAGGGTCGTTCATTGCCACACTCAGGCAGGGCCCTCCAGAGAGCAAGAGAATAGCTCCCATCCCCAACACTGTCAGCAGTGACTGCTGAGACAGATAACAGATGAGTGTCCCAGGGGAGCCAGTGAGGCTAGGAGCCGGCTTTCCTGTTTTGGTTACATTGCAGCCCGCAGGAAGGGACTGAGCCAGCTGTGGGCTGACGTTGATAGTTAGTGTGTCCGGGCTGCCTCTCTCTCTCTCTCTCTCTCTCTCGCTGGGAAAACACCACAGGCTGTCTGTGGCCTTCCCAGCTGGTGCAGAGGGAGGCGGAAAACACACAGGGCGTTTATTTATTTATTGATCTAGCCCCCTGACCTGCGCTGTGGGGGCTGAGCTGACTCAAGCTGCACACATTCTGTATACAGCGCAGTCAGCTGTTCTCCTCACTCACAGATGCAGGCTGGGGTGTGGGTGATGTGAAGGGTGCTGGGGGCAACTCAACCCCGCGGATGCACAGAAGTTTTGTCTGGCCAGGTGAGAAGGGGCACTGCCTGGGTCCCGGACTAAGTACTGTTGGTACTACAGGCCCTGGACTCCTGGGGATTCGCTAGCAACCAGAGACCCTCTCTGGGCTCCGTAGGATGCTCAGGGTTCCCTAACAAAGGGAAGTGGGAGAACTTGTAGACTGCGTGGTGGGTAACACTGCCTGCTTGCCATCCATCTGCCCTTCCTCTGGTGGCACTGCCAGCCTCCAGCCACATGTTTGGGTGAGGGTGACCTCGCCACCACCCAGAGGGATGGGGAGGGTGCATAACGCTGGCCTGGCCAAAGTGACTGGCCACTGTGATTAGTTCAGGGATGGCATATGACCCAACTGGGTCCGTTGGAACCAACTGATCGTGTTGAAGGAGAAGCATTTTCTTTGGTGGGTGCCCCTGAAGGGTGCCTGGAACTACTGTCACCATGAGACAATGGTTCCAGCAAGGTAGAGAATGGGAGCTGAAGGTGGCGAGAATAAGCCTCAGGTGCCAAGGACAGGTAGAAAGGGAACGTTGTCTGCCATGCCAGTAAACAAAGAATGTTGCCTGCCATCAAGCCACGAGCCACTGCAGTCACCCCCAACAGTGCACCCTGAGGGGCATTTGGGAGGGATAAAAACAGGAAGCATTCTGTGCTCTGGATACTGGCCTTAGATAGTTCAGATGCATATCTAAGGAATCATTTCAATGAGACCAGATTCTTGCATCTTTCCATTCATAGAAAAGCACTAAAATCATTAACTTAAGATATCTGGGGCTTCCCTGGTGGCGCAGTGGTTAAGAATCCGCCTGCCAATGCAGGGGACACGGGTTCAAGCCCTGGTCTGGGAAGATCCCACATGCCATGGAGCAACTAAGCCCGTGCACCACAACTACTGAGCCTGTGCTCTAGAGCCCACGAGCCACAACTACTGAAGCCTGCATGCCTAGAGCCTGTGCTCTGCAACAAAGAGAAGCCACTGCAATGAGAAGCCCACGCACCGCAACGAACAGTAGCCCCCGCTCACTGCAACTAGAGAAAGCCCGTGCGCAGCAACGAAGGCCCAATGTAGCCAAAAATAAAAACAAATAAAATAAATAAATTTATATTAAAAAAAAGATATCTGTTTTTTGTGATTAGCAGTAATCTTTTGATGTTAGACTACATGTTTTGTTTTGTTTTTCCAGCCAAAAACTCCTATGCATCCTGCTTCCTCCCTTACCTCATAGGAGCAGTTCCTCAGAGCTATCTGAGAGGCTGTCTCCCAGGCTAGAGTCCTCAGTAAGGTGCCTGTATAAAACTTAACTCACAACTTCTAGGTTGGGCATTTTTCTTCAGTTGGCAGACATTTTCAAGCTCCCGGATCCAGCCATGCTAGACGCTGACCCTACCCGAGGGTTTTCAATGACATGAGTCAATACACTTCCCTTTTGCTTAAGCTGGTTTGACGTGGGTTTCTTTTCCCTGGCCACTCAAATGCACCTGATGAAGGGAACAGGTCACTGGCTCAGCATTACAGGGGCCCCCAGGCATCATTTTTTACCCTGGGAAACTTTAGGGTCCCAGGCTGACAAACGCCCTAAGCTCCCTCCTCCCAAACCTACATGCCAACACACAGGGTACAGACCAGATCACCGTCTCTCACATGCAACAGGCACGGGCAGTCCCAGAGCATGCAGATGCAGGGACCCAGTTCCGAATACCGAGCGGGGAGGAAAACTCTGAGGTAGGCACCTTGACGCCAGCTGATGGCATACAGGTCCCCCAGAGTCCGGCGGCGGCCCATGGGCTGGGGCAGAGACCAGTATCTCCATGAGACTGGACGGGCAGCATGTGGAGGCGAAGGGCAGAAGGCAGAGGTAAGAAGAAAGCAGTCCCAGTGTCTTGAGGCAAAGGCGGCACCAAGCACGTGCTCCCTCTCAGGAGCAATTATTTCCGCGTCTATGCCACGCCCCAGGTGTCTCAGAAGGACCAAATTCCTGAGTACGAACCTTGAACTTGAGTGAAGAGCCACCCAATAGACACGATGCTATTCCTAGCATGATTATAGAGGCACTAAGAGAAGCCCTCACGGCAGGGGGAAGAAATGTACAAACCCTTAGGAAAATGTGGTCTCTCTCCCATCTTCTAGCTGTGTGACCCCGGGCAAGTGTCTCTACTTTCTGAGCTTCTTTTCTCATCTGTAAAATGGGGACAATAATCAGTCCCTTACAGAGACACGCCCCGTGGTAGGAATCATTAACTGTCTAAGGGAGCTATAGTTTCCACGCAGCACATGACCACCCCTTAATCTGAGTTGACTTTTGCACTTTCTCCTCATGAGCGCCGCCCCTAGAGCCTGGTGGGCCCCACAAACGCAGAGCAAAACAAAAGGCATTTTACTCTGCGGGTGCTGGCTGCAATAAAACTAAACGCAAACCACATATGCATTTTTTTTTTTTTTTGCTAACCTTTGAGCATAGAAATATCCCTTCTCCTTACCCTCTTTTCTGTTAAATACATACTCAAGTGGCTTTGTGTTTTCTAAACAGTCAACTAAAAGCCCCAAATATTCAACCCTAGGTAAGGCATAGCTCTATGATAATAACTGTTCCTAGTTATTCATTGTTTTAGGTTCTTTGCCAAGTGCTTTGCATGTGGGATCTCATTTAATTAAAAAAAAAAATCCCATGACATAGATACCATCATTTCCATTTTCAGAGGAAGCAGCTGAAGCATAGAAAGGTTAAGTTGCTGGCCCAAGACCACTCAGCCAGTAAGTGGTACCAATTCAAATTCGGTGGTGAGAGTCAAGTTCAGGTCTGATTCCAAAACCCTCCCGTTTATTAGCTAAAGTGAACTCATACTCTAGATTGAGGAATGCTCCTGGGGGGAAAGGGGGGTTGGCTGAGCCTTAAGATTTCTGACACAGCGGGAACCACTCTTTAGGAGGGTCAGCTCTGATCCTGACACCCAGTCAGGGCCGTTAAACCAACACAGAAAGCAGACAAAGCAGAGATCTTTACGGATGGCTTCAGATGTCTTGTAAATGAGCTTGGAGCAGCCCCAGCACCTTGGCCATCAGGATAATTCAAGGGAGGAAGAGTGAGGTGTTGACAGCGATCTGACTGGGGGCCGTTGAGGTCCCATGGAGGTATCAGGGCCCCAGCTCCAGCCAGGCTCACCTGGGTTGGCTCCCCAAGGCCCCTAAGAAAGGGCGGGCTTGCTCTGCCCCAAACCCAGGGCCTGGCTTCATGTCCACAGGCTCTAGTCTAGGAGGCTGGGAGGCAGAGGCTGAAGGGAAGGGATTGGGTGCCGCCGGCCCTCACGGCCTCCCCAGCGAGCCCGAGGCCCCGGCTGCTTCCTACCTTCTTCAGGCTGTAGGGAAAACTCATCCTGCACACCATCCTGTCCTTCGAGGCAGGTTGCGGGGACCCAGCCTTGCTCTTCAGCCGTGCTGACGAACCACCAACCTGGGAAAATGAGAGTGCAGACTGATATCAGTTGGGTCAGGTGTGAGGGCCGGGCGTCAGAATACAATATTAGATTCAGCCGCTGCAGGAACCAACGCTCAGCGTCAGGCTCAAAAGTCTCCATTTTATGAGTAGAACACAACTACCCATGTGAGCTGACTGCTAACTGCTAGAGACAGGCTAACAGGAAACCTGCTCTTGAGCCTGGGACGGGGCTGTGGAGGGGAGTCGGGGATGGGGGTGGGGAGAAAGGTTGTCCTAAAGGAGGAGAGCAAAGAACGTAGCTCCCTTCGCTAAGGTGTGCAAGGCACTCATCGTTTTACTTGCATTATCTTTTTTTTTTTTTTTTTTAATTTTATTTATTTTTTAATTCATTTTTGACTGTGTTGGGTCTTCGTTTCTGCGCGAGGGCTTTCTCTAGTTGCGGCAAGTGGGGGCCACTCCTCATCGCGGTGCGTGGGCCTCTCACTATCGCGGCCTCTCTTGTTGCGGAGCACAGGCTCCAGACGCACAGGCTCAGTAATTGTGGCTCATGGGGCCAGCTGCTCCGCGGCATGTGGGATATTCCCAGACCAGGGCTCGAACCCGTGTCCCCTGCATTGGCAGGTAGATTCTCGACCACTGCACCACCAGGGAAGCCCCTTGCATTATCTTATATCATCTTCACATTATCATCCCTACTGCACAGACGAGGAAACTGAGGCTCCAAGAGGCAAGGCTCGTGCAAGTTCACACGGCTTACGGCCGAGCTGTGACTTGCACCCAGCGCTCTCTGATACTGAAACCACTGCCCTCATAACTTATCTGAGACACGGATTTTGCATCTGTTCATGTCAAGGTAAATCTGGCCGCAGATATAACAGTTTGAGAGGCCGTTCACTGAGACTCAGGCCCTCCCATTTTAGAGAAAGGGCTCTCATGGAGCCTGTGGTAGGCAGAATAACAATGCACATGGCAAAGGGTTTGAATTAAGGTCGCAGATGGGGTTAAGGTTGCTAATCAGCTGAACTCCCAAATAGGAGGTTATCCTGGCTTATCTGGGTGGGCGCAGTTTAATCACAAGGCAGGCAGAAGGAGGGTCAGGGGGAGATGTGGCTGAGGAAGGAAGGTACAGAGAGGGGCAACACTGCTGGTTCTGAAGGTGGAGGAAGGGGTCACGAGCCATGGGGTGTGGCTGGCCTCTAGAGAATGGAAAAGGCAAAGCAGCAGATGCTCCCCAGGCCTGCAGAAGGGAACACAGCCCCAGCACTGCCTTTTTTTCTCGTCCACTGGGGCCCATTTTGGGCTTCTAACCTCTAGAACCATATGATGATAAATTGGTGTTGGTGTAAGTCACTGAATTTGTGGTAATTCGTCATAGCAGCCACAGGAAGTTAATACAGGGCCCAGCTGGCTCTGCACTGCATAAATGGAAAAATAGGATCTGCTCCCCAAGATCACAAACCTCCAGGCCCCGGAGACCCCAAAGGAGAAGAGAAGGAAGGGGCAGACTCTGGACTAGCTTCCTGGTCTTACAGGGAGGCCTTTGCTTTTGAGCTCCCTGAGGTAGAAGCCACTTTCTGCTTTACTTGACTGGGTGCACCTTTTAAAATACACGTTTTGGTGGCTGGGAAGTGTGTGTGTGTGTGTGCGCGTGCGTGTGCTCACGCGCGTGTGTGTGTGCGTGTGTCTGTGTGTGTGTGCGCGTGTGTCTGTGTGAATGAATGGGGTTGATAAACCTGTGAAAAACCAGAAATCAGAAATATGCCATATATGCCTTCCTAAGGACTCCTATTTGTAGGTATCCGCGCGGGGTTAAGGAACGTGTCACAACAGCAATGACAGTAAAGATACGCCAGACTGTCTCAGTGCTTCGCATCTACTACTGACTGGCTGAGTCCTCACAGCAGCCTGTGAGCTGCATTCTGTTACTGCCCCATTTTACAGATGGAGAAGCCAAGCTCAGAGACGGGCAGTGACTTGACCAAGGTCACAAAGAAATTGGCAGAGCCGGGATTCGACCCAGGCCATCTGGCTTCACAGCCTCAGCTCTTAACTACTGGCACAAATGCCTCACACATTGCTGGAAGGAGAGTAAATTGGTATGGCCGCAGTTTGGAAGCAGGTCATTTGGCTGTATCTTAACATTTAAAGTATGCGTATCTTATGGTCCAGCAGTCTTCTGCATATCTAACCTGAAGAAACACTCACCAATGTGCACACAGATATACTGTTCATACTTAAGGAAGATATGACTTATAGTATGCCATATTTTCACATAGTATGCAGATGTTAAAAGAATAAGAGCTAAATGTTGACTTAAGAAAAAGCATGTTGCAGGTCAAAATATATAGAATGATACACCACTGGGCTTAAAAAACCTACAAAATTATATATAGAGGCATGAAATACGATGTGTATGTATGTGTGTACATAGTTATATATATGTACGCATGTGCACATATATGTATACACACATGTGTACAAATGTGTACACTGTGTACATACATATACACCTGTATAGAGTTTTTTAAAAAATAAATTTATTTATTTCTTTATTTATTTATGGACGCGCTGGGTCTTCGTTGCTGCGCATGGGCTTTCTCTAGTTGCGACGAGCGGGGTCTACTCTTTGTTGCGGTGCGCGGGCTTCTCATTGCGGTGGCTTCTCTTGTTGCAGAGAACGGGCTCTAGGTGTGCAGGCTTCAGTAGTTGCAGCACGCGGGCTCAGTAGTTGTGGTGCAAGGGCTTAGTTGCTCCGTGGCCTGTGGGATCTTCCTGGACCAGGGCTCGAACCCGTGTACCCTGCATTGGCAGGCGGATTCTTAACCACTGCACCACCAGGGAAGTCCTATCCCTGTACACATATTTATACACATGCGTGTATACAGTTATCAAGAAGCATTCACCCCAAACTGATAGAAGGGCAGTCTGGGTTTGGAAAGGGGACTAGGCCTGAAGCTAGCGGAAAAAAATAGGTTTTAACTTTATCATTAATGTTTCAAGAAGAACATATCCATATATTACTTGGGTAAGTAAAAGGTAATTGAAAACAAATGTTGAGTTTGTTGGCCACTTGAAGATCTGGACATATGCCTTTTCCCTGCTGTCCTCTGGACACACCAGGCTTGGCCCCCACCCCATCCTGCCTCCTCCCCTTCTCCCAGCAACGTGTTCTTCCTGACGTCGCTCAAGCTGGCAAAGCAAAGCGGGGTGGGGGTGGGTGGGTGCTCCCTTCTTCCATCCCCACAGAGCATCCCAGTCATACCCACAGACTGCCTGTACTCATTTCTAGGAACTAGAACGTCACATGGCCTCGGGGCCAGCTGGAATTGGTTAGGAACTCCAGCTCGGCAACCTGTCACAAGATCTGGGGTGAGTGACTGAGTCACTTGGAGTCTTGGTGTCTTCAGCTGTGAAGCAGGGATAACAACTGCTGTACTGTGTAATCAAGAAGTTTTGGTTGGCTACTGCTCATCTCCTGACTAATGGGAACATGCTCCAGAGGCTGCCGGAAACAGTCTTTCCCTGTTTGTTGGACCTTAACTAGCCACTGGGGTATCACAGAGATTGGCCCACTAATATTGCTAGTCAATGGCACATTTTAGCTACAACAAAGCCAGTGGGGGTTTAATGCCACTTTTTCCTGGAGAGGATCCACTCATCCCCTGCTCCTTGCTCTCTGTCTTCAATGGTACCAATGCCCTACTGCGGCTAAAGAAGGCAAAAGGGAAGGAAACGCATTTTTGAGTACCTATGTGCCAAACACAGGCTTAGGCACTCTCTATGTACTGCCTCATTTAATCCTGGAAGCAGCCTCCTCAACGAAGTGACCTGGATGGCTGTGAAATGCGGAGTTCAGGTGGAAACCCAGGCTAAGTGTCTCAGTCACATCACATTCTGTCCCGGCCAGTGTACAGGCAGACCTCGTTTTACTGTGCTTTGCTTTATCGCACTTCACGGATAATGTGTTTTTTACAGATTGGAGGTTTGCGGCAACCCTGCATCAAGCAGGTCTATTGGTGTCATTTTTCCTATAGCATTTGCTCACTTCGTGTCTCTGTGTCACATTTCAGTAATTCTCCCGATTTCAAACTTCTTCATTCTTATTATATTTGTTACGTGATCTGTGGTCAGTGATCTTTGATGTTACTATTGCAAAAAGATTACGACTTGCTGGAGGTTCAGATGATGGTTAGCATTTTTTAGCAATAAAGTATTTTTAAGTTAAGGTATGTATATTGTTTTTTGGACATAAGACTACTGCACGCTGAATAGGCTACAGTATAGTATAAATGTAACTTTTTTTTGCACTGGGAAACCAAAAAATTCACGTGACTCACTTTATCGCAGCGGTCTGGAACCAAACCCACAATATCTCTGAGGTCTGCCTGTATGTGACCAGCGGTCCCTCTGAGGGCAGGTGGGCTGAGGCAGTGTGTCCATCCCACCAGAGCCCACAGCTGACAGAACCTTCATGAGGACTCCCATGGTAGCCAAAGGCAAATCAACAGAGCAAATCTCCAGTGGAATGCTGGACTCCGTGTCTCCGAGTACTCTGAAACCAGAAGGAAGGTTCCTAAAATGTGAACCTCAGGACAAGTCGATAACCCCTGACCCAATAGGATGCTGGTGAGCTGTGACCAAGTGGAGTACTCAAGCACTGTGATCAAACAAGGCCAGCTTTCTAGGAGGCCATCAACCAGATCCGTGGGAACGGAGCAGCCTGGATTGGCCATTGCAGCGTTTGCACTCCCAAGCGTTTCCTGTCCCAGAGGCTTGGTGAGAGTGTAGGGTGGAAGGAAGGTGGTCTAGGTCTCCTACCTGACTCGTTCTTCTCGATGATGTCTACCACTTGCCCCACGCTGAGGCTGATCTCCGAGCTCTCCTGCTTCTGGTAGTCTGCCACCACTACATACTGCTCCAGGACCATGGGGTCCACCGAGGTCAGGTCGCCCCCTGGGGATACAAAATGCCAACACACAACCCATGTGTGAAGGAACAGGAGCCAGGGGGTGGGGTGGGTCAGGAGGACATTCCAAATAGAGAACGAAGCTGTGACAGGACTTGTCTCAGGGTCACCTCATCCATTTATTCTTTCATTCATTTGCTCACTCAACCACCAAAATTTACCAAGTGCCTGTTCTTGTGCAGGCACTGTGCTGGGCACTAAGGATTCAGAGTTGATGCGGTACTTGCCCTGAAGAAGCTGACAGCGTAGTGGGAAAGTTCATTCATTCCTATCCATCCATCCATTCATCCATCTGCCATTATTCACCCATCATCGTCCACCCAACTAAACATCCATTCATCATTCATCCAACCAAACATCCATCTGTCTAGCTATCCACTGCCATCCATCCATCCCAAATCACTCATCTATTAATTCACGAAGTCACCAGTGATGTTCCAAACACTCCTTTAGATGCTGGGCATACTAAAGTGAATGAAACAGACATGACTCCTAGCCTCAAGGAGCTCAGTCTAGCTGGGGAGAGAGACACGTACACAAGTATATATGATCGCTAAGTATACAGGATAATACTAGTTTTTGACTGATGCATTGCTGGAAACAACCAGGTTGCCAGACAGAGAATGAGTGGGAAAAGGATGCTACATTAAATGGAGTGGTCAGCAAGACCCCTCCAGGGAGGTGACATAAAGCAAAGACCTCGGAGGCAAGGAGGCATGAGGAGAATGGGGACAGAGTGGTGCAGGCAGACTGTGGGATGGGAAAGGGCCTGGAGCCTTCTAGGAACTGGCTGAAGTCCAGGAGTGAGCAGAGGGCGGTCCTGTATGAGCTCACCCTGGCAGGCATGGGTCAGAGCAGGCAGGACATGCTGGGCCAAGGCAAGAAGTTCGGATTTTTTGAAACCCTCAAGTAGAAAGCCACTGAAGGGCTTTAAGAAGGGAATGACAAGATTTACATCTTTAAAAAGACAGTTCTGGCTGCCACATGGAGACTGGATTACAGCCTGGCAAGAAAAAAAGCAGGAGACCAGATGGAGGACATGGTGTTTGCAGACAAGAGATGATGGTACCTTTGGACCAGGGCAGGGGCAGCTGGGCAGAGGAGCCCCTGGGGAGGCCATTTCCACAGGATGTAGTGCTGTGTGGCCCTGGTTAAATACTAAGACATATCTGATAAGTAAATGAAAAGATATCACAGAATATGGATGATGTAAAGGGACATCTGAGTTCAGACACTCCAGAGAGAGGGGGCAGCACTTTTAGAGCAGCAGCTGAATGTGATGGGAAGGCAGACTGGCTTTTGTGGTCACTGGGCCCTGGTTTTCTGAAAGTCCTGATTCAAAGGATTCCCTTCTATTGTTTCCATAAACCACTGAAATATCCATTTATACATTTCTGTGTCCAAATACACCCATCATGAGCCAATTTTGTGCATCTGTTCCCAACTCTGTTGGGTAGTATCTTATTGAAATTGGCCATGGTGGGAGTATTTACACCATGGAAAATGGCAAATGCCACAAAGCAGGGCTTCCCATCAGAGAGCTGGTCGTGAAGTATTTACCAGCACGCCGTTGCACCCCAGCCTCTGGCATCTAGAAGCGGCACAAAAGCCCTCTGTTAGAACCACGCGTTCTCCATGTCTGATGCGGAAAATCAGAGCAGGGCGTTGCAGCCGGGTGAAGAAGGGTCACCGCTTCTTGGCTCTGTGACCATGTTCTAGCCATTCACCCTCCCAGGCTGAGGGTAACGGAGGGAAATGGGAGGGCCCCGAGGCAACACTGCCCCTTGCACCCTGAGTGGAGAAAGCATGAGAAGAGAGAAAGAGAGGAGAAAAAAGAGACGGCAGATGTGGGATGAAGGCTCAGAAGTAGATTGGGAGGGAAGTAGCCCCACATGAATGCCTATCACAGACTATACACTGTACATAAACCACCTCGACACAACTGCCCTGGAAGGTGGGTATTACCACCCCCATGTTATAGACAAGAAAACAGAGGCTCAGACATATCAGGTGACTTGCCTTAGATCTCACTACTACCTGGTGACAAGGCCAGATCTGAACCAGGTCCACCTGGTGGCAGTAGGTGAGGAAAGGAAAGATGATAGGAAGGAAGGCTAGTCTGAGATCTTGCTCTCCTACCCCACAGGTCCCCATGACCGCCCCCCAAGTCTTATGTCTTTGCAGCTCTCAGGGTTATCTTCACTACTGCCAGCCTTCTCCTCCTCTGTCACCTCCCACCCAGGTCAGGCCGCAGAGCTGATCTCCTTCCAGCCTCAAGCATGACAGACCGCCCAAGACAGCCCGGCTACTTCAGCGGTTCCATCTTTTAGTGGCCCCAGAGCAGGCTGGTCACTGCCCCCTTTCTGCTGTCCCTCTAGACAGTGACCTCCTGACTCTCTCCTCAACCCCGCGGCACTGTGCTTCTAAGAGGTGCTCTTGTGTGAATGAGCGCAGGCAGACGCGCTCCTGGTCACTTGTCCTGGTCATTGTGAGCTTGGGACACATTCCCCAGTGAATGCAATACGTAGAGACTGGGGTCCACAGTTTTTATCCCAGAATATAATCTGCCTCAGGGCTCAGAACCCCAGGAAGGCATCTGCCCTTCTGTTTTAACCTCACGCGGGCTGCATCCAGGTAGCCATGCTTCCCTGTGCCTCAACTGGAGACAAAGAACTGGAGAGTGGAGAGAAGCACCCACTTCACAGTCAGGCTGGAAGCTGAGCCTGCTGCCCGGGTTAGTGGCCAGAGACAGCCCAGGTCTCCCAGGCAGGCGGGCCACTAGTGGGCTGGAGGGGCCAGGACGTGTCTGTGTTCACGTGTGGGGAATCTCTGCTGCCCCTTGTGGCAGCCGTCAGGATTCCCTCCCGCAGAGCCATGGGTCTGATGTGGGAGGACCTTCTTGCTAGCACTCCATCACCTCGCTTCACCCACATCCTCACTACGCCACATCCTTTTCATCAGGGTCTGAGAAAGGCTTCTTGTGACCAGGGGTGTGCAGGTGGGACACCCCGTGATGGGTCTCCATCCTGCCCCTCCAGTCCGTCCTTCATACTGCAGCCAGAGAGCTTGCTCAGAAGTCACAAAAATGGTCCATTTTTGTGCAAGGGGAGCTAAGAATGTGTTTTTATACTTTTAAAGATTTGTAAAGAATAAGAAGGAGAATGAAAGGAAGAGGAAACAAAAAATTATTATTACTGACAGAGTCTGCATGGGGCTTGCAAAGCCTAAAATATTTACTATCTGGACCTTTAGAGAAAAAACATTTGCCAACCCCTGGGCTAGAGCTTGAATAGCATCTACAAAGGCTCAATAAATATTTGAATGAAAGAATGAATATTTTAAAACAGCTTTAAATGACTTCCAACCTCAGGGAGACATTCAAATGCCTTCTCTCACAGCACTTACAACATTTAATTTTGTTTACGTATCTGTCTTTTCTACCAGACTGTGAGGTTACTTCCCACATGGTATTCCCGTGGTGGAAACGCCTTTTGCATTTCCTGGGGACCTAGAACACTGTCAGGCACACAGTAGGTGCTTAATAAGCATTGAATGAATAACTGTGTCTTGTTCACTCAGCACAGAGACTCAGTGAACATTTGTGGCGTGAATGAACAACGGATGAATGGAGACACCTAGAAACCCTTCCCGCCCTACATTGCTCAGGCCTCCTCCTGAGAACACACAGTGCTGAGTTACTGGCAGGCACCTGTCTATCTTACAAGCGACCAAAGACTACTTGTTGCCTGTAAGAAGGGACAGAGACTTTGGATAAGTCAAGGTCCACTTAAGCCAGGTTACTCTGTCCAAAAAGTTCAATTGTTGCTACCCGGTTTTAACAACTGATGGTGGCCCAGTTGTACTACATACAATTCCCAGGATTCTGATCCATGGGTTGATCTATTCATTTCTGCACCAGCTCTCCTAACCAAGCTGCCAACTGACTTGGGTTAACTATGAGCAGGGAAAGGAACTGGGGGTCTCACTGCGAACAAGACATGAAGCCAGGAAACGAGGAGGGCAGGGAACAGGGTTGAGGACTCTAGGCTGGCACGAGCACATAGTGTGCTGGCACAGGGCTCAGGGCTGGTACTTCTTCCAAGACTTGCTCAGGGGCCAGGTCTGAGCCTTACATATCCTTCCTGTTCTTCTATGACAGTAGCTTTTATTTCTATTAATTTACTTTTTATAAGAATGCGTTAGCACTGGGTTTTTTTAAAAAAAATATTGATTTATTTTGTTGAGCCAGGTCTTAGTTGTGGCAGGTGGCCTCCTTAGTTGTGGCTCGTGGGCTCCTTAGTTGCAGCTTGCTGGCTCCGTAGTTGTGGCATGCAAACTCTTAGTTGCAGCATGCATGTGGGATCTAGTTCCCTGACCAGGGATGGAACCCAGGCCACCTGCATTGAGAGGGCGGAGTCTTAACCACTGAGCCACCAGGGAAGTCCAACAGTAGCTTTTAGACTAGTTTCCTGCCATTAAGTGGCTCAGAAAAGAGTGCATGGAGTTGCTTTTTCAGGACCAGTTCTTCCAGGGCAGGTTGCCTTCATTTTATCCAGAGCACTCAACTTATCAAAACACCATTCATTTGATCTACTAGGAGTCTCAAACTAGGCTACATAGACCATTTAGGTGTTAGGTGGAGACATCTACTGGTGGAGTGTGATACTGCAACCAGGCTCTATAATGCATAGTAATTGCAGTAGCTAAAAGTCGACGCAGATAGAACTAAGTTCTAGGAGCTACAAGTGTGAAATCAAAGTATTCCTAGATGAGAAATGTCACTCTTGTGGTCCAGCAGGGAATAAGAGGGAAGGAAAAGTCCAGGAGAAAGGAGGAGCTTTGACAGTGTAAGTGTGATTTTATCATTAAGGAAGTGCTATGAAATATTCGTGGGACTTCCCTGGTGGTCCAGTGGTTAAAACTCTGCACTTCCACTGCCGGGGTCTCAGGTTCGATCACTGGTCGGGGAAATAAGATCCCGCATTCCATGCAGCGTGGCCAAAAACAAAAAAAACCCAAACAAACATAAAATATTCGCCAAAGGTAAAGTGCCTCATCTACCACAGAATTTTTAAAATGATGAGTAATGGTAAGATAGGCCTTTCTTCCTAGAAATTCACTATACTGCCAGTCTTGCTGAAAGAGCCAGTAAACAAGAGAATATTCCAATAAGTAAACGGTAGAAAAATCAGGAAGAAAAGGTGCTCCTTAAATAATCACATGATCTGTGAAATTTTGGTGGGAAGATTTTTTTCCTGCAGAATGAGCAGGATTTGAGAGCACGTTAGCCAAAGCCTGCAGGAACCAGCCAGGCAGTCAGCCACAACAGGGAAATTCTGGAGCGAGATAAGCCTTCGTCAACTCAGAATTCTCACACAGAAATTTCAGGGCTTGGGCTGTCAACCTTAAATCCTTTTTCAATTTAATCAACGAGCCTTGTTCTAACATAAAGGAAGTGTTCAAAGGTCAGATAAAAAAATAAGGCAAGTCCCAGCATGGGTTCTCAGTCTGAATGAAGAAAGATGCTATTTTCCACCCAGTCGAACTATAAATAAATCCATCCCCCATCATTGCAGGTGAACGATGTAACAGTGGTCACCACAAATTAGAGCTTCTTCTCTCTTTTCCAGACCAGTCCCCTCATCAAGCCCGTCCTGACTGAATGCTTTTGTTTTCACAAACCAGAGCTGTCTGTTTCCTCTCTCCCTCCCACCCGTCCCCTCCGGGAAAGTCTCTGCACACTCAAAGCCAGAAACTCTGTGACCAGACGAAGACTGTCTGCTTCTCTTCTCCTCTCTGCTCTTTTCTAAGAAACACATCATTATCCCCAGGGCTCAAGGGCTATTTGTAGCTTTAGCAGGATGCCACGGCTCCGGCCAGTACCTATTAAGCTAGAAAGCAGAGCTGTAAACAGACTGGTTGGGAAAAGACCGGAGTTCACTCCAGATGCCATACCTTGAGGCGAAGAAATCCAATTCCTCTCCACTCTTCCTTGCAGGAATGGCCTTGGGGCCCATAAAGCTGACCACAGGCCTTGTACCCAGGGAGCAGTAAAGGGACCAGAGTTGTTGACTTTGGAATTGTTGCTGATGCTGGACAAGAACACCTGGGTGTTCTGAATTAATAGCAGTAGCATAAAAACAGCACAAACACGTGTCTCTTACAACATGCCAGGCACTGTTCTAAGTGCTTTATACATATTATTATGAATCCTATAATACTCCTGCAAGGTAGATTACTATCCTTATGCCCATTTTACAGATGATGAAACTGAGGCCCACGAGAGAAGGCATCCTTTTCCACTTTTGGAATCTCTGCTTGGCCTCCCCTCCACCCATCCTTATCAACCTCCTCAAACTTCCTGGAGTTCTAGATAAAGAATTTAGAATTCCAGAAAGCTCTGAAGACCACATTGGCTCCAGATGTGGTATGGGCTAGGGCCTTTGCAGATGTGCAGGATGTTCTTGGGTTGCAGGAGGACAAAGCTGGGCGATTGTGAATCTAAGCTTATCAACCCCAGGCCTGTGGGAACTCAAATCTTTCCTCTGTGCATATTCAAATTCTCACCTTCTCTTTTTTGACATAAGGGTCCTGCTGTCCAGAGAATGGAAAGGGTGTTAGGAAGGAAGAGAATTGACTGTGGGGAGAGTGAAGTGAGTATGGGAGCTGCCTGCAAGAGCAGTTGTCACCGCCCAGATCAGTGGCTGATGGAAGGAAGCACAGAGCCAGGCCTGGTGCCGAGGCTGGCAAATGGATCAGGCCCAGATGGACTGTATGCTTGCACCTCCCAGCCTGCAGGCCGTCCCCTCAGCCCCGAATGTCTTTCAGAATCCATCCATCCATCCATCCATCCATCCATCCATCCATCCATCCACATCACTGTATCCCCCATGTAGTGCCCAGGGCCTGGACATCGCTCAGTAAGGGTATGCTAAACATCAAATGAGTAGGAGAAAATGGAAAATATTCTTACCAGATTTCTTTTTCCCAACATGTTCCCTGTACAGGAAAGAAAAGGGGTGGGAAAGAGTAATGAGTCAATATCTTTTCTGTATTGCTATGAGTTATTCCGTTAGAAAACTGAGATTTTCCATCCCACAACATCTCCAGTGAATGAGTGTAAAAGCCAAGCCAGTCCCAGGGACCTAGACTCTTTAAAATAAAAAAAAAAGAATTCCTTTTAATTTTCTCCCTTTGCCTGATAAGTGCTCTGGTGCCCTGGGGACCAGCATCTCCACTCTATTTGTAGAGTAGGGGGCTCTGGGGAGGAGCTGATAGGCAGGGGGTAGAGGTGGGTATGCAGTCTGAAAACAGGAGTTAGGACCTCACACTGCACTGAGGCTGACGCCCACCTCATCAGGCACGGTGGAGGCCTTGCTGCACTTACGAGCCGTGCCCTGAGCTGTACAAGTGGAGCAGGAAGCGCTCGGTGGTGAGTGGAATACACTAAAACCGGGGAGACATCTGGCTAGCAGTGAACCCTGCACATCTCCCTCACGGTGACACAGAGGACACTATTATGGGCTAGAATCCATACAGAATGAGTAATCGCTCCCATACACTTGTCAACCACGTCAAGAGTTTATACACACAACTGCATTATGAACAAAATGTTACAAATCAGGTTTTACAACATACTTTTAAGTAAATTAGCCCGTTAGTAAAAAGCTTTCCGATGTTATAAAAAGTAAAGGGAGGTGATAGGGAGGTGATAGGATGGTTGGGTTGAGATAGATATTGTGGCAGCAGTAACATTAGCTAATACTACAAAATTCCTAATAAATGTTATTACCCTGTGCTAGGGCCCTGCTAGGCACTTTTAGTTCACTCATTTAATACTCACAATAACCACAGGAAATAAGTACTCTCTTCGTGCCCATTTTACAGATGAGGAAAATGAGGCACAGAGAAGTTAAGTAACGTGCCGGAGGTCACACAGCTTGCAAGAAGCACAGCCAAGGTCTGAACCCAGGCCTATCTCCATTTTAAAAAATTGAAATATAATTCACATACCATAAATTTCATCCTTTTAAAGTGTAGAATTAACTGTTTTTTAGTATATTCACAAAGTTGTGCAACCACTGCCATCAGCAAATTCCAGAAAATTTTCATCACTCTCAAAAGAGACCCTGTACCCCTTAGCAGTTCCTCTCCATTTCCATTCCTTCCAGCTCTGGACAACTATTAATATGCTTGCTATCTCTAAGGATTTGTCTATTCTGGACATTTAATATGAATGGAGCCATATAATAGGTGGCTTCTTGTGACTGGTTCCTTTCATGTGACATGTTTTCAAGGGTCGTCCACGTTGTAGCACATATCAGTGTTCATTCCATTTTATGGCTGAATAATATCCCACTGTGTGGATAAACCACGCTTTATCTGTTCATCAACCAACGGGCATTTGGGTTGTTTCCACTTTTCGGCTATTATGAATAATGCTTTTATGAACTTTGTACACAAGTTTTTGTATGGACATATATTTTTATTTCTCTTGATTACAGATGTAGGAATGGAATTGTTAGGTAATATGGTAACTCTAAGCTTAACTTTTTTTTTTAAGATTTTTTTTTTTTTGATGTGGACCATTTTAAAAGTCTTTATTGAATTTGCTACAATATTGCTTCTGCTTTAATGTTTTGGCTTCTTGGCCCCGAGGCACGTGGGATCTTAGCTCCCCGACCAAGGATCGAACCTGCATCCCCTGCCTTGGAAGGTCAAGTCCTAACCACTGGACTGCCAGGGGAGTCCCTAGGCTTAACTTCTTGAGGAATTGCCAGGCTGTCTTCCACAGTGGCTGCACCATTGTAGACTCCCACCAGCAACATAGGAAGGTTCCAGTTCCTGCACATCCTCAACACTTGTTGCTATCTGTCTTTTTGATTCTACCCGTGCTAGTGGGTGTGAAGTGGTATCTCACTGTGGTTGGAACTTGCATTTCCTGATGGCTAAGGATGCTACACTGAGCATCTTTTCATATGCTTCTTGGCCATTTTTGTATTTTCTTTGAAGCAATGTCTATTCAGTGTCTGATTTTAGAGTCTGGGTTTTTAACCACCATGTAATAATGCTTTCAATGTAACCTCGAAAGTGGGGGAGCAGGGAGCTAAGCCAAGCCCTGGAGCTTGGGGCTGCCCTCCTGTGTGTCTGGAAGGAGGGGCTGGGCTGGGCCAGTCAGTAGTGATGTCCTCTGGCCAGCCATTACCCAGTGACACTCAGTGTCACTCTCCTGTGCAGGGGAGGGGGAGGGTGACAGTGGAATATCCCAGCTCACACTTCCTGCCACTCATTGTGGACAGCGTCCCGGTCAGAATGCTACCTGGACTGGCCCGCAGAACCCTCACATCAACCCTTAAGGGTCACTCCCTTTCGTACGTGGAGACACTGAGGGCCAGAGAGGTGAGGCATCTCTCCCAGGATTGGAACCCGGGAAGCCTGGCTGGAGCCGGCTCTCCTGACCACACCCTGGACTGTCCTGTGGGGCAAGTTGCCTCTTAGCTGCTGGCTCCAGGACACACCAGCAAAGGTCTCTTAAGTCTACTTCCACGTAAAGCCCTCTTCCCTCGTTGCCATCCAGGCTGCGGCCTGAGCCATGGTCTGGGATACCTGAAATCCCAGCTCCCACACTACCGCATACCCCTGCTAGCTGTCTCGCTGTCCTAGCTGGAGCACGGGGGTGAGGGGCAGCAGGGGGCTCTCGGTTTCAAGCAGCAGCTTGTGTGAGCTCAAGCAGGCACGTTATTTTCTGTGCGACATGCTTAGGGTGACCTCAAGTTTACCCAGGAACGGTAGCGAAAATGGTGCTCCTCTAAGAGCACCATTCATTTCTTTCCTTAGAAACCGCTAGGAAAGACTCCCAGTCTCCATCACAAGCCCTAACTCAGGTCTGAGCATCAGAATCCTGACCAAGGGACCAACCTCACTGAGCACCTGCCCTCACCATTCATTACTGCCTAAACCACCGAGACCCAGCTGAAGCTGCCTGCTGTGGCCCCAAAGCCACCCTTGGGATTCTCAGCACCCTCCTTCTCTCCCTCCCTCCCTCCCTCCTTCCCTCCTTCCTCCCTCCCTCCCCTCCCCCCTTCCTCCCTCCCTTCCTTCCTCCCTCCCTCCCTTCCTTCCTCCCTCCCTCCCTCTTTCCCTCCCTCCCTCCCTCCCTCTCTTCCTCCCTCTCTCCTTCCTTCCCTCCTCCCTCCCTCCCCCCTTCCTTCCTTCCCTCCCTCCCTTTTCTTTCAAAGTCCGGCTTAAGGTCAGGAAGGCATCACTAGGTAAGCACCTGCCATGTGCCTGACACTATCACTACCCTTTATGAGCAGGATATTGCCTAACCAAGATGAGAGCAAGGTTAGCCATGCCCACTTTACTGATGAGGAAAGAGAAGCTCAGAGAAGTCAAGTCACTTGTCCAAGGTCACACAGAGGGGAACACACAAAGAGATTGAAAACTTCCCTTTCCTTCCAGGAAGCCTCTTGGAACTAAATACATCTATTTCAGCAGGATGCTGGTTAGCTTATCTCAGCTGTTACTTTGTGCTTTCTTGGGGTATACAGCCTAGGCTGTGTTTTGTATTTTTAGTGGATGTTCTATTTGTGCATGTGTTTGTGTGCGCACAGGCCACACGTATCCACATGCTCACATGGCCTTTCCCACCAGTATAGAAGCCCCTCTGAGGGCAGGTGCTGTTTTTCTCTTGTATTATTCCTGAAGGAAGAAAGGGAAGTGATCATTAAACACTACAGATTGTGGTCTTTTTTGTTTTTAAATAAATGGAGCAATAAGATTTCTTCTAGCCGGTCAAAAGGTTCTAACCAGAGGAAAAAACTTTAGATTCTCACCACATGCCAAATGTTGAAATGAATTCTAATCGATTTAATGAGTATATATTAAAAGAAAACACAAAGCATAAATCAACTAGAAAAAAATTAAGGGAACTATCTTGTGTCTGAATGTTGACTGTCCTTCTTAGACTGAAAGCAAATGAAAGAAATCACAACTAAAAAATTGGTTACTGGATTTGACTTCACAAAAATATAAAACTTATGTACATCATAAAATCCAGGAACAAGATATAAATGCACAATAAAAGGGACAAATATTTACCACAAATATGGAAAAGGCTAACTCCTTACTATATAAACAGCCTGTACATATCAATAATAAAAATAGCTCAGGGCTTCCCTGGTGGCGCAGTGGTTGAGAGTCCGCCTGCCGATGCAGGGGACGCGGGTTCATGCCCCGGTCCGGGAGGATCCCACATGCCGCAGAGCGGCTGGGCCCGTGAGCCATGGCCGCTGAGCCTGCGCGTCTGGAGCCTGTGCTCCGCAACAGGAGAGGCCACAAGAGTGAGGGGCCCACATACCAAAAAAAAAAAAAAAAAAAAAAAAAGCTCAAAATATGTCCACTGGCCCCTAAGGCCCCAAAGGCAGGAACTAGGCTTGTTTTTCTGGACTTTCAGTGTGGGTGGCAGTTGTGGGAAATGTTTGGGGAGTTAACACACTTGAATGGTTGACCCTGTCTTTGCTGGTTTTCGCCCAGAGATGTGGGGGAAGGGAGAGCCATCTGGAAGGCCTGAGATGAAAGATTCTGGTCCTCCCATATGAGAAGAAGCATCTCCACATGGTACCCACTTCTTCCAGTGATGTACAACAATCAAATGGACCAATTAGCTTCTCTCTTACCATCTCATAAAAGATCGCAGAACCCAAGCATCTTGGCCCTGGCAGCCAAGGAGATGTGAAAACTGTGTACCTACTATGTGCCAGGCACTGTGCTCAGCACTTCACACACATAGATGCAAGCCTCACAGTGATTGTGGGTCCCACATCCATGGATTCAACCAACCTCGGATTGAAAATGTTCAGGAAAAAAATTCCAGAAAGTTCCAAAAAACACAACTTAAATTTGCTGTGTGCCTGGCAACTATAGAGCATTTATACTGTATCAGGTATTATAAGTAATGTAGAGATGATTTTAAGTATATGGGATGATGTGCGTAGGTTATATGCAAACACTATGCCATTTTATATAAGGGACTTGAGCATCTGTGGATTTTGGTACCCATGGGGGGTCCTGGAACCATCCCCCCTGCTGGTAATGAGGGATGACTGTATTACTATTCCCATTGAAGAAGTGAGGAAACGGATTTACCTTAAAAGTGTAAGAACAAAACTCTAACTCCAGGAAACTGGGGAACAGGTCTATCTTTTGAATTATCAAGCATAATACCCAGGGGGGCTCACCACGATTTCAGCCCCCAAACTCCAGAAAACTAGCTGCTGAGCATGTCTTAATTTTCCCACCATTATTTCATTTCAGTCTCCCAATAACCCCATAATGTGGGTGGGGCAGGTGATGTGGTCTCATTTCACAGATGAGGTAAGCGAGGCAGAAGGGGAGGGGAAGGGATTGCTCTGCCCGGATGGAAGAGCTGGCTGTCTGGCCAGCAGACCGGAAGCTCCCTGTGGGCACAGACTGCATCTGCCATGTCATCTCTTTGTCCCCCCGTGCCCAGCCCGTGGGCTTAGCATTCAGCAGGTCCTCGATACCTATTTCCTGAATGGATAAACAACGCTGGTGCTCCGGACCGGGAACAGTGCCAGGTCTAGAATTCCCAGTCCTATGTTCCTTCTGCAAGCCCAAGCCAGCCAACAAGTGGGGAACGTGGGGCTGTGGGCACCAGAGAGCATGACGAAGCCCCCAAACAGCCTCCCTGACATGCCGGCTCCTCTAGAAGGCTGGCTCCCACCCTATGTTCCCCAGTGTCCTTCCTTCCTGCACGGAGGTGCCTGGACTCTTCTCAAGCACAGCGGGCTGCCCCTGGCCTGGCTCTCTCCCATCTCTGTCGAAAAGTTGGGCTGATGCCTGCTCGGAGCTGGGGACCCACTCACCTCCCTCGCCAGGCAGGAGGCCAAAGACATCTGAGCATTAACATTCAGAAGGGGCGCCTGGGCGGCGATTCTTAACCTCAAGTCCCTGAATGGGGTTTGGCACAATTGAGGACCTCCTGAAACAGGGGGCATTTTTCTCGGGAGAAGGAAGAAAGCTTTTATTGGATTCTCCAAATGGTCCATGATCCTCCCCAAAGTTAAGATCTCTGGGAGGCTGAGACAAGGTAGAAGAAAATCTAGATGTCACCACGAGACAGGAGACAGGCGCAGGGGTGGGGAACAGGCTGCCCAGAACCACTCGGCTTAACAGTGGCCAAGCAACCTTCCTTGTGAAGGTCCATCAACTGGACGTCTTGAACAACGCTGGGAGTAAAAACACCTACAGTTGGGTATCCAGAGAGGGAAAAATACCATGGGCCACCGCTTTTCGAGCACTTGGCAGGTTCCTGGAAGTTTTACGTGTGGCAGCCATTCCATCATCACTGTAATTGTAAGGCTCACTGCTATTCCCATTTCACAAGGGGTGAAATCCAGGCCTGAGGCTACACAGCCCATGAGTGGAAGAGGCGAGATTTGCACCTGGATGTATCCAAATGCAAACCCAGACTCACCCAGACTCTGTCTCTTAAGCCCAGCTGTCCCTTCTGTGGGAGGCACACACACACAGAGCTTACGTGAAGACTCAGGCAGACCTGGGGAAGATCCACCTCGCCTCTTCCAACCCTGGGCAAGTCTCTTTCCTTATTCTGAACCTCAACTTCCTCATCTGTAAAATGGGAACGACAGCTCCTACCTGGCAGTTTTGTGATAGAATGAAGTAGAAACTGAATATGTTAAGCTCCATATTCTTTGATTCACTTCACCTAGAAATTAAAATCAAAGCCAGGGGCTACCAGCCTGAGTTAGCAGTTTAACCCTGACTGCCTGGGAGCACTGTAGACAAAGGTCCCTTGAGAATATATCACCATGTCTTGTTATGTCCATAAAAGCTGGGGACTGTTTACCAGGCACAAATGCTAAAGACACCAAGAACAGAAATATTAGCCAGGATGGGCTGCAGGCCCATTAGCAGATTTACACTTATTCTGTATCTTTTCAAAAAAAATTCATGTGTTGGCAAGACGTTCCCTTGCAATGTTTTGATTCAAAAGATTTACTGTGGTCCCTTACGGAATGTCATTCCCATGCTTCTGTGTGCTGGCTCTGAGAAGCTGCATTCACTTACTCCGTGCTTGTCACAGGAAATGGTATTTATTGCAATATGTTGACTGTAGAAAGTTTCATCTGTGTGGTAGTTAAACCATTAGTCCTGAGCGATCAGCTCACCCTCTGTGATCTCCGAACTTGATTCTGCATGTAGCCACGTGTATATATATAAATGGCCTGATTTCATGTGTTAAAGCTCTTTGCTGCTTTCCTTACAGGTCTATTTAAAAAGTAAGCTTTGTGAGTTCACCAGATTCCCTTCTAGAAAGCAACATGAGTTTTTCTAGCTCAACCTACATAAAGTGCGTAGCACGTGAACGCTGAACCGACGTAAGCCTGGGTCATCACTGCTGTCCTGGGCAGTGAGTCACACTCAGAACTCAGAGGACCAGTTCCCACTTCTCCCGTCACAGCGCCTGGCTGGTACTTCTCGGCCCTTCCTGACGGGGCCCCAGTGGACCCCTAACCCTGCCAGCTCTTGCTCCTGTGACTCAGGACAGCCCAGCACCTGTGGTCTGTGTCCTCCTCCCCCACTGCGATTTCTCCATTAGACAGATCCTTTCTTTCTGCAGACGTCTATGATGCCTTTCCCCGAAAAGGGCTTTTAAAAAAGCATCATGCATCAGTCAGTGTTTCACGCTGGCACAGCTGTTGGTGCCGTCAGCTCTTGGCGTGTAAAGGCCAGCAGGCGGCTGGTATTGAGATTCTGTGCGATGTGCACTGGGGGGCTGGGGAGATGCACCGCCTGGCATCTGGGAGCGCAGCCTGTCCGCTGCGGGGAGAAGTGAGATCAAACCCTGGCCCCGTCATTCACTAGCGATGGGACCTGGAGCAGGTCTCAGTCAGTCACTCACTCACATCCCTGATGGTCCTGGGCACATCTACCTTTGAGGACAGGGCACACAGTCTCTGCCTCGAGGGCTCACCGTCTCCCCTGTTCAGGTATGGTGGGTAAACGCAGGGCATTAGGGAATTCAGTAGTGCACTCAGCCAGCTTCCTTCACCTGTAAAACTCAGCTATGGCTACCTGCAGTCACTACGAAGGCTACATGAAGTGAGGCCCGGCAGGGGCTTCACTGATGTAATCTAGGTTAATTTTTACTTAGCTTTCCTCCCATTCCTCCTGGGGCTGGCCGGCCCAGCAGGAAGGAGGGCTGTGAGAGTATGCTCTAAGGAGATCCACAAACCAACTTACTCTTTGGGGGGATTCAGGTCCTCGGGTCTTGTTTCAAAGAACTGCAGCACCTCATCACACTGAGAAATGTAGGGGGGCAGCTGGATCAGGGCCTGGAGAAGAGACACACAGGTGAGCCCAAAGGAAGGGAAGGGGTGTCAGGAATGCCATTAAGTCAGGAGTCCTCAGACTTGGGCAGGCATCAGGATCACCTGGGGGGCTGGGCCCTACTCCCAGAGTTTCAGATTCAGTAGGTCTGGCGTGGGGCCTGAGAATGTGCCTTTCTAGCAAGTTCCCTGGTGATGTTGCCACGCTGGTTTGGGGACCACACACACACACACACACACACACACAGTATATATACACACATATATATTACAGGCATATTTGGACAAATAATATGTACATATTTAGACAAAGCAATAAATTGTGAACAAGGTCCTACTGTAGGGCACAGGGAACTATATTCAATATCTTGTAATAAACCATAATGGAAAAGAATATGAAAAAGAATATATAGATGTATAACTGAATCACTTTGCTGTACACCAGAAACTAATATAACATTGTAAATCAACTACACTTCAATAAAAATAAAAATTGTGAACTTCATGCCATGTCATTATTCTTCTACACCACCATCTCTACTGGATACTGGTGTCTATTAGATAAATACCTCATGTTTTATTCAACTAGCTGCTTACCGGTGAACATTTAGGTTATTTCCAACATGTCTGTATGTCCCAACTCATGGATCTGACGTGTGAAAGTGAAGGGACTATTTTATGATTTGGGTAGAAGTTACAAGTTCCCAGATTAACAAAAGGTTGAAACACCCGGGACGTCCCAACGCCCAAGTCCATGTTAATCTGCCCCCTCGGCTCATCAGTTACAGAAGCCTCATCTGTCCTTGGCCAATGGGCTGGAGGAGGTGGTGAGGGGCGTGAAGTGGGCCCAGGCATTTATTATGCTGGTTTCTCTACTAACAGGTATTCATTCAGTGATTCAATAGACATTTTCTTTATGCCCAGCACTGCACTGATTTCTGTGGACACAGGACAGAATTATAGGGTACATCCCATTATGAAAGGATTTGAAACAAAGACATGGCTCAAAATGAATAAAGAGCTTAGTTTAACAAATGTTTACGTAAGCCCCCCTCTGGCACAGGTTCTGAGGATGCAAATCTGAGCGTAGTAGGGTTGTTTCGTGCACACACTCTATTATAAACTTCTGTGCAGGGAGAGGGCTAGTGCAGAGGCATGAATTTAAACAACACAGGCGTGCTGTGGAGGGAGGCGGGACCCTGCTCTCTCTGCAGATAGGGCTCAGTTCCCTGGTGCCTCACATATGCCTTCTTGCCATGCTGAGTGTTGAGTCTGGAGTGGAAGAGACATGTCTTGTATCTTCTGTAGAAGAAGCTTCTAAAAGCTATCCCCTCACAAAGTGATTTTCCAACCCTAGCATTGGGTTATGAGGGACTAATGGAAAGATAGATGGGGGTCTCCAATGTGGTACCTTCTACAACGCTTTCAGAGGTATTTTGACCTGGATGACCTATTTTTCCAAGTTTTAAAAAGTTTTAATTTTTAAATTAAATTTTACCACAAATTTTATTGTGGTAAAATACACATAGATCATTACTGTCTTCACCTTTTCAAAAAAATATTTATTTATTTATTATTGGCTGCGTTGGGTCTTCATTGCTGCGCACGGGCTTTCTCTAGTTGCGGTGAGTGGGGGCTACTCTTTGTTGCGGTGCACAGGCTTCTCGCTGTGGTGGCTTCTCTTGTTGTGAAGCATGGGCTCTAGGTACATGGGCTTCAGTAGTTGTGGTTCACGGGCTCTAGAGTGTAGGCTCAGTAGTTGTGGCGCACGGGCTTAGTTGCTCCGCGGCATGTGGGATCTTCCTGGACCAGGGCTCGAACCCATGTTCCCTGCATTGGCAGGCGGATTCTTAACCACTGCGCCACCAGGGAAGCTGCAGGTCTTCACCATTTTTAAGTGTACAATTCAGTGGCATTAAGTATGTTCACACTGTTGTGGAACCATCACCACTACCCATCCATCCAAGAACTCTTTTCACCTTGTAAGACTGAAACCCTGTACCCATCAAACAACAACTTTGCACTCCCCCTCCCCAGCCCCTGGCCACCACCATTCCACTTTCTGTGTGTATGAATTTGCCTACTCCAGGTACCTCATATAAGTGCAATCATACAGTATTTACCCTCTAAGTGACTGGTTGATTCACTTAGCATTATGTCCTCAAGGTTCATCCACATTGTATCATGTGTCAGAATGTCTTTCCTTTTCAAGGCTGAATAGCATTCCATCCCATGTCTACAACACATTTGGATTATTCATTCACCCCTTGGTAGTCACTTGGGTTGCTGACCTGACATGACCTTTGAGTCAGGCTCTGACTTTAAGCCACTTCCCCTCTCCTGATGTATGACCTGGCCCAATACTAAGGTGGGGAAATCCGTAAGGTAAGTGGACATGTTTTAGTAGGGTGCCTTCCCTGGTCACTGTCTACTTTCTATGCTGTATAAAGATAGGATGAAGGATGCTGACCTAAGGGCCTGGTATTTGTGGCTCACTGATTTTTTTTTTATTAGCCTTGAAGTATCTCCTGCTCTGTAGCAAACCCCCAGGGACCAGCCTTTTCCAGGCCAGAGGCAGAGAGCCCAAGAGGGAGAGAGTGGATACATCCCACTTCCCATTTCTGACCCCCTTCTCTTTCTGGTTTGGAGCAGTGAGTATTCATTTTCCTGCTGTCTTGGGGCTCCCTGTGGGTCGCTCTTTCCTCTGAAATCCTGCAGCTCTTGCAGTTGGAACCACATAATGAAGGGGCTGATTATATGCTGGACCGTGGTGTGTCCTGGCTGCTTCGTGGGCAGAAATCTTGCGGCTCCCCCCAGACTGCAAACACGACATTCCCTTATGTTGGCTCAGCACTTGATGGCTCCCAAAATGTGTTCGTCTGCATCATGTCATGTCACCCTGAAAGGGCTGGCCCACTTTACAGATGGTGAAACAGAGGTTCTGGGGAAGTGACTAGGACTTGAGCCCCCCAGCGACTCCAGCTCCTCTACCCCAAATCCAGAGGATTTCCTCCTGCACCTTCCCACATGCCTTGACAGTGCTGGGAGGACCCTGACGCCTGGTTGAAAGTATCTGCTGGATAAATGATGTGAGGAAGAGGCTTGGCCGTGGCCACGTGGCCCTGGGTAAGCCCTGAGGTGGCCATGGTTTCTGCCTACAGGGGGCCTCTCTGCTGAAATGGGCAGAGACCCCGAATGGACCAGTGCGGAAGGGACAACGAGGCCCATGGAAACCTCCCGACAGTGCCAAGTTCTCTTTAGGTTTTGAGCAAATCCTAGGAGGTAAAAGCCAAACCAAACCCCCAAAGCATAATACAAAGCCAAGCTACTCAAAAAAGGCAGCACCGAATGCTTTGATATTTGCCCCTTTCATTTTGGAACGACAGGCTAACAGCAAAAACATGACCTGGGGCACAGCAATAGTTCTGCTTCTGAAATACCCCAGAATTGTCTCGTGTTTGGTCAGTATGACAAAGAACCGCAGTTCCAAGAAAACTCTGGTTCTGTTCCGCATGGAATCCTGGCCCTTTGGACAGTTGTGCTGCTCGATGCAGAGGTAAGAGGAGAGGTGAGGAGGGCAAGTCCTGCTTGCCTGTGTAATAATGAAGGGTCAGACAGATCCAGCTCCTGGTTCTGGCTCTAGCCATGTCCTATCACCTCTGAGCCTCAGTCTGCTCATCTGTAAAATGGAAATAACTAACACCCATCCTGGAGGGTTGTGCTACAGAACAAGTGAGCAAGTGGCTGTAAGGTTTCCATCATATACTAGCTGCTTGATAAACATCCAGTTAACCCCCTGGCTCTCTGAACTGTACCAAGTACAATAGGGTGCTGTGGGACTTCCCTGGTGGCACAGTGGTTAAGAATCCGCCTGCCAATGCAGGGGACACAGGTTCGAGCCCTGGTCTGGGAAGATCCCAAATGCCACGGAGCAGCTAAACCCGTGTGCCACAACTACTGAGCCTGCGCTCTAGAGCCCGCGAGCCACAACTGCTGAGCCCGCACGCCTAGAGCCTGTGCTCTGCAACAAGAGAAGCCACCACAGTGAGAAGCCCAGCGCACTGCAACAAAGTAGCCCCCGCTCACCGCAACTAGAGAAAGCCCACGTGCAACAACGAAGACTCAGCACAGCCAAAAATAAATAAATAAATAAATAAATAAATAAATAAATAAATAAATAAATATATATATATATATATATATATATATTTAAAAAATAGTGTGCTGCTTCCAGGGACGACTTTAGAGTCAGCAAGGTGATTCAGTTCAATCACAACGCCTCGGCTAGAGAGAGAGAGTTTGTGTCTTCAACAGAATTTTAAGTGCATAGCACAGTACTGTTGGCCATTTTACAGCAGACCTCTAGAGCTGATTCCTTCTGCTTGACTGAAACTTCATGCCTGTTGATTAGTAACTCCTCATTTTCCCCTCCCCCCAGCCCCTGGCAACCACCATTTCACTCTCTGATTCTATGAATTTGACGATTTTAGATAACTCATGTCAGTGGAATCATACAGTATTTGATCTTTCTGTGACCGGCCTATTTCACTTAGCATAATGTCCTTAAGGTTTATCCATGTTGTTGCGTATTGCCGAATTTCTTCTTTTTAAAGGCTGAATAGTATGCTATTGTATGTACAGGCCACATTTAGGTTGATTCTACATCTTGGCTATTGTAAATAGTGCTGCAGTGAACGTGGGAGTGCTAATATCTCTTCCAAATCCTGATTGCAATTCCTTTGGACAAATATCCAGAAATAGGATTGCTTGACTATATGGTAGTTCTAGTTTTAATTTTTTGAGGAACCTGCATACTGTGTTTCATAGTGGCTGCATTTTGCATTCCCACAGTGTGCAAGACTTCCAGTTTCTCTATATCCTCACCAACACTTGTTGTCTTGTTTTGTTTTTTTTTTACATCTTTATTGGAGTATAATTGCTTTCCAACACTGTATTAGTTTCTGCTGTATAACAAAGTGAATCAGTTATATGTATACATATATCCC